TTTGCAGAACTGTTATGATGAATAAATCACTAAATTTAAACATAATGAAGGAGGACCAAGCATGGAACAGGGCACCTAACTTGAGAAATCATACTAAAAAGTTATAGAGAGCCAATTATCAGCCTCTGAATGGTTTCATTTATGATGGCAGAATGGAGTCCTTCACACTCCCACTGTGAAAGCTTGAAATGCCTGGGTATTTTACTATCACACACACATTACTCATTTGTTTCACTGGATAACTGAAAGATAACTAGATAATTTACTGATTTTACTTAGAGGTGCAGCTACATATAATTATCTTAAAGATTACCTGGGTGGTCTGTGCATATCCTTGAGTGGGCTGGGCGGTGTAAGCACTGTAGCTGCAAAAGAATTAAATGCAACAACTTGAATAGAGAACATTCAAATACCACCTCTACAATTATAGAAGGCTCCATACTCAAAAAATATTAATCACAGACAAAATGCGGTTATAGAAGACTGACTTACCCCTGCTGCGCTGCAGCTTGGCTATAGGTACTGTAATCTAGAGGAAAACGAGGAGAAAAAATAGTGTAGTTAGCAGAAGCAAGAAGAGAAAAAAGGGGGAAAGAATTCACGTGGCAGGAAGAATTATTTAAACTGTAGGGGGACCTGCCAACACAGGTCCAAATGAGTCCCCCCTATCTCTCAAAACCTAATAGAAAAAAAAGTCTAAGCCAGTTAAACTCAACATTTGACTATGGGACTAGCTAATGAGGTCAAGATCAGCTGATTTGGCAGGTATACTTTGCATGTTCTCATGACCACAAAACCCATCAATTCCGACTGTCATTTGAAACACAGATGATCATCAATATCTCAGACTTACAACTGGATCAGAAGTTTTTTCCCTCATATAAAACGGAGGCATGCAACAACAATACAAAGTTTAACACTAGACTGGTTAGGTTAGAACCTACCTCTCCTCAAAAATTAGTTTTCACTCCCCTCCCTTTAGCAAGTTAGACAAACCACCACTTCCTAGCTCAATGACAGTGAAACAGAATGGCAGAAAAGAGGGCAGTCACCACACTCCAGTGTTTTAAAGGGTTTGCTGTGTCAGAACTACATTTGTGCAGCAACTTAAAAGCTAGATATATTATAAATCCTGGTGAAGCAAAACTAAGGCAGAATCCTGAAGACAGGCAAAGAAGAAAAAGCATTTAACCTTTCTGGGAAAAATTTGGCAACACCATTGTCTCTCATACAACTCAAAATGATTTCGACTTTAAAAAGTAAACCTCCCTATAATTTTCCTTTTCCTATGAAATTCACAGCATGCGTCCAAAGGTACCAAAAACTCTGGTCCACTGAGGTGTCTACAAGTAGTAAAAACAAAAAGAAAATAGTTTTTAGAGCACTACTGCATTGAAGTTAGGTAAGTTTAGTTTTTTTAAAGGCAGTTAATTATTTTTGAATATTCTGCCCAATTCTTTCTTCTCCACAAGAATACATATCTTGTTCTGTCTGAAGCCAGTTACTGCCATTAGGACGGAAAAAAAGGGGTCCTTTATTTTCCAACCAGAAAGTAGTCCCTTATCCAAAATCAACAATTGACAGCTCTTTATTGCATCCACTTCACGCAATCCAAAGCCAGCCTCACAATCCCTCGGGCGGCCTGAGAGGGCTTTGCTGAATCCATCTCTTCACGTTGGCTTATCTGTCTACTCCTCTATACGTTAGTGGACTACTTTCTTTCCTTTGTACACACTCGTAACTCAAAACCCTGAATCACCAAGAGGATCAAATCAACTGCCCAAAGGCTACCTATAATGAAAAAATAATTTGTTCATGGCAATCTTAAAGGCATTTTCTTTTTTTTTTTTTTTTTTGAGACAGAGTCTCGCTCTGTGGCCCAGGCTGGAGTGCACTGGCCGGATCTCAGCTCACTGCAAGCTCCGCCTCCCGGGTTTACGCCATTCTCCTGCCTCAGCCTCCCGAGTAGCTGGGACTACAGGCGCCTGCCACCTCACCCGGCTAGTTTTTTGTATTTTTTAGTAAAGACGGGGTTTCACCGTGTTAGCCAGGATGGTCTCGATCTCCTGACCTCGTGATCCGCCCGTCTCGGCCTCCCAAAGTGCTGGGATTACAGGCTTGAGCCACCGCGCCCGGCCAAAGGCATTTTCAATAGCACTACAAGTCATACTCTCTGTGACATTAAAACTAAATGCAAATCATTTCTTCCACGTGGCATATACAAAATAAACACAGCAATGAATCATTCAACATCAAATATTTTAATCCACGTTTTGTTAAGGTCTTTGAGAAATGATTCTAAATCACCAACATGTAAGTACAGTTTGCAAGACGACTTTTACACAATAGCAGTTATGTAAAACATAAAACTGGCAAAGCTGATATGGAACAACTAATGACCTCTTAACAGTGAGAAACCAAAGGATTCGGCCCTATACTAACTGGGGGGCTATGGCAGGTAGCAAATTTGTTTCATGAACTTACATTTATCTTCCTAGAGCACACAAACATCACTGGACCTCAAACAAGCTATTAGGTTGGTGCAAAAGTAATTGCGGTTTTTGTCATTAAAATGGAAAAACTACAATTACTTTTGCACCAACCTAATACAATTACAAACTGGTCAGATTATTCTGCAACCGTGTTTGTTTTTAACCCCCAAAAGTGAGCCACAGACTTCACTAAAAATCACTTCACTGTGATTGAGGGGTGGGGGTTCTAGACTGCAGCGAGTCTTTTCTACATGAGATACACACGAGGAGAGAAAACCTCTATTATTATTAACCCAAGGCAATGCTTTAACACTTCATAGCAGTCACTATGGAAGTTGCTTCACACTACCTGAGTTGAAGTCAGCATGGGACGAATTTGTGGAATGGTTATGCAGGAACGTCAGAAAGGCTCAAAAGCTTAACAGGTCTAGCCTAACTTCTGTATTTTACAGGAAAGGAAACTAAGGCCCAGATTACTTATGTGACTCTCTGAAGGCCCCCCAGCCAGGCCTAATGTGTTTACTTTGTGTCAACAGAAACCACAACTGTAATTCTAATACAGTACAAGCACATGGTAGTTACTAGTGAACAAGGTTTGAACAAAGTTGACTGAAAAAAGACATGTCCGGCCATGCAAAAATGTCAACGCACACGTTTTGCCTTTTCAGGCTTTTGCAGAGGAGAAGAGGGTGGATAGGGCACCTAGGAAACCACTTTCCACCAGGAGATTTAGCTGTGGTATTTCAGAGTCCTCTCTTCCACAGGCCTTCTTTGGTATCCCAGCAAGAACACCCAACACTTACCTGTTTACTGACCACACAGATGGGGTGAATTCTTAAACTGTCCTTAAGTTGCTGGATTCTGGACTCTAAAACCTCTGGAGGGTCCAGAGCTTTTCCCGTCTTCCCTCTCATCTTCTCCCACTGTCTCTAAGGCCTGGAATCAGGTGGCCTGAGAATACCCTCAGAGGCAAAAATGCTCCACCCTGCCAATTTCCGCGGGTTAGTGTACCCACAGCTTGCGAACTGCAGGTGGTGGCTAGGCGACCCTCTTAAATGCTCCTTCCATCAATGACCACTCTACTCCCATTTTGGAGTTCCCATCCGGGGCTTGCTTTCAAGTGCCTTTAAGATCGCCTCTACTGGCCTCTTTTCTCTCACCTCTGTCGACCTACGAAATCAACAGGCCTGCCGGCCTAACGCAGGCGAATAAACGTGCGAGACCACCGCTGAAATATAATTCAAATGCAGGCTCGGCCTTTTGTTCCTCCTAGGTCAGAGAGGCCAGAAATACCTTCCTGGTAGCATTTCTCGTCTCTCGATCCAGGCTGGCCTTATTATACAACGGATGTCCCTCGGCGTTTGCAGAAAAAAGCCCTGGGAAGCCACTTAATTGGTTTTGGGGGAGGGGAGGGCGTGAATAAATAAATAACGATAAAAATGGAGAAGCCCAAAAAAGTGGCAAACTGGGGGCCCTGGAGGAGGGAAGCACATTCTGTCTAAAGCCCAGGAGGGCAGAAGTTCGGCTTGGGGCTGGAAGACGCCGAGGGGGCAGTTCGGCAGCGCCAGACGCCCCAGCCGACTGGGCCTTAAAGATGACGGGGCTCCCGCTCATAGGCCGGCACCCCTCGGCCCACAAATCCACGGTATCTTTCTTTGCTTTTTTCCCTGGTTTCTCGGGAAACCCTGAAAACGCGGAGAGAGGCCTCACAGGGATAGCAGCCTACGGCCTCCCCGGCGGTTTCACAGTGACCGGCTCGAGGCCTGGCCAAATCATTTCTCCGCTTCACGCAGGGCCTCGAAGGCCGCAGGCCCCGCCCACGTGGCGGGAGGCCCGGAGCGCAGGGCGCGAGGACCGCCACACAATGGAGGCCAAAGCGGGCCCCGCGCGCCACCGCCGCAGCGAGCCCCCTGCGCGCCGCGGACGCCGGAAGATTCCAGAACCGGCCCGCCCGGTGGGGGGAGGGGAGAGGAACGCGGATCCCCGAGCTCGTCGGGTCGCAGCGGGTGCCTCAAACCCCTCTCGGCAACTCCACTCAGTCTTCCCAGCCAAGCCCAGAGACGAACGACCCCCAGTTTGGGCGTTCCGACTACCGCCAGCGCGACCGCAGTGCCACCATACTCACCCGTGGACGCCATTTTCTCTCCTTCCTCCTCGTTCTCTCAACGTCCGTCTCCCTCTCGCTTTCCCTCTAGGCGCCGCACTGCGCAGGCGCAAATCCCGCAACCCCGGGCGCGACCATCAGGCCAGGCCACGGGGGTGGGGTCAGGAGGGATGAACCACCGCTTTCTCGTTCTTCGCGTGCGCAGCCCTTGTCCCAATCCTCTCTAAAGAGCGCCCAACGCGACACTCGGGCCAAAATAGCACCTAAGGGGCCAGAGCGCCGGTGAGCGGGTCTCAGTGTGAAACCGGAGAGGCTCTCTTCACGAGGCTAGGTTGTTTGGAATGGTTTCGTCCGCTGGCTCTAGGGACCGTCGCTGAAGAGTCTGCCCTGCAGGCAGACGGAGATCGGCGGGAGGGCTGGGGGAAGGGACCCGGACTAGAACAACTGCTGACTAATCCGCGGGCCGCGGGGAATGGGTGGCGCGCCAGCCGGTCGGCCGGGGTCACGCGGCCGGGTGTGCGCGGAATGGATTCAGGGTTCCCCGATCTCGCCCGGGAGCTAGAGTCCCGACTCCCAGCCCGGGTCCCCGACCGGCCTTTCGGGGTTGCTGGGCGCGCTCTGCAGTGAGTACCCGGGACGCGTGGCCCGGGCCAGCGGGGAAGGGCCCCGAGGCCGGTCGGCTAGGTGGGAGGCCTCGAACACCGTTTCTGGTCCCGAGACCCCGTCCCCGGGTAACGGTCGAGGTGGAGCACGCCCTTTAATCATCCCTCATCCAATACCCTTGTTTTACAGAAGGGGAAACTGAGGTCCAAGGAAATTGAGTATCTTTGCAAAGTCCCCAGCTGAGTTCGAACCAGACAGATCCTGGGACCCCCTACTCTATCCGCCACCCGGAAGAATCTTCGTCCTTGTCTTTCCATTCTGCCCTCCCGGCTTCCCAGTAAGGTAGGCAGGGCCTGGTGGCGCACTGCCCGTTTCATAGATTGAAGAAAGTGAGGTCCAGGGGGCTCAAGTCCCAGTTCCGAGTGTCCACGGGCAAGCCTTTTACCCTTGCTAAGGAGCCCAGAGCTAGGGAATGGTTGTGAGGTGAGGATACAGGAGGAGGTTTACGGTGGGTGTCTTGGCCCCAAACCCTGCCTCCAGGCAAGGCTGGCCCTGCCCACCTCTCTGGACCTCTAACCCCAGCCCCCTAGGTGGATACCCGGGTCCACGAAGGGCAGGGTTCACCTTCAAATCCCTCAGCAGGACCAGGAGTCAAGCTAGTGTCCTTTTTTCAGTGAACATATATAAAGCACTGGTTGTGTGCTGCGAATACCCTGGGAAAGGTGGGGTTTGATCAGAGGAGCCATGAGCTCAGACCACCTGCCTAGGGAGACAGACTGGTCAAGCTGTGCTCCTAAGATCCCTGATGTTGGGGGGCCAGAGGAGGGGAAGGGATATTTGAGCTGGGCTTCCAAGAGTAAAATAGGAGTTTTGCCTGCTGGTGAAATGGAGGGAAGGACAATGCAGGCTGAGGAGCTTTCCACATTTTTCCTGCAGGAAGCTGGTAGATGTGGAGAACGCGCTTGGCAGGGGAGCAAATTAGGCAGCCTTCTTGTCTCTCTGGGATCCTGCTTCCTGCCGTGAATCAGCTCAGTGGGAGTCCTGGGACAGAGAGGCTTGACCAGGGACCTACAGGCCCTGGAGGACAGGCTGGATGCAAGAGGAGAGCACAGGGGAGAAGGCCTTGCTTTGGTGAGCAGGGAAAGGCCATGTTTGAGGGCCAAAGCTGGGACCAGCTAGGCTGGAGCAGCCACCTCCATATTGAGGCCTTCTCGATGGGCCAGTTGGTGGCTACCAACGCCCACCATGATTAGTGAGGATTGCTATGATTTATGGAGCAAGAGTTGTGGGCCAGGGCCTACCTTAGCCTATTCCTTTTTATTTCATCATCCTCTGAGGAAAGGAATTTCTGAATTCCCATTTTACAGATGAGAAGGGAGAGGCTCATCTGTAAAATGAGGCTCATCTGTAAAAAGATGAGGTTGGAAACTTGCCTTGGGACACGGAGCAGAAAGAGGTGGAGCCCATACTGGAGCCTTCCTGTGGAAAGGGGAGCTACGGCCAGAGGGGCTGTGCCAGTAAGGATGCAGGAGGAGGCTTATGGTGGATGGGCTCACCCTCAAAGGGGATGTCTCAGTCCCAGGTCTCTTAGTGTGGCTCAAGGTGTGGGACTCCTGCCCTTCTGCCCCACCCTTCCCCAGTCTGCTTGCCCATTGGCTGGCCCCACTCCAGGGTCAAGGGCAACTGAAACCATCTGGAGCATTAAGGCTGGGCACAGGGTAGGGGAGGAAGGAGGGAGGTAGTAGCCTGAGGGAAGGGGGAGGACAGAAGCGGGCTAGAGATGGCCCTGAATTCGCCCAGGGGGGTGAGGGGCTGAACCCCTCTTTTGGGAGTTTAGGGCCCATCAGGAGTCTCTATGCCTGTCCCCTGCCAGTCCTTAAACAGAGGTGAGTGGAATGGCAAGATGGCTTATGAGTGCATGGGTTAGGGTCTGAGCTCCACTATGGCCGAGCTGCTGGGCCTGCCTCTCCAGCCTGTTTCCACCTCTGTAAAATAGGGCTGTTGATAAGGTGCTTGAGAGGGTATTGGTGAGACAAAACCTCCAATAACAACTTGTTATTGTTTTCTTTTACCCCCAGCGCACAGCCCTAGGACCACCCTTGACCATCCTCAACCAAGCTATGCATGCCAGGGGCCCCCATGGCCCACTGTCCCCGGCGCTGCCTCTCGCCTCCTCAGTCCTGATGCTGCTGATGAGCAGCCTGTGGCTGGTGGGGGCCGGCCCTAGCCTGGTCCTGGCCCCGGAGCTGTTGCTGGACCCCTGGCAGGGTGAGGGCCAGCCACGTGGACCTTGGAGGAAGCAGGAGACTTGCTGTAGGGCCTGGGCCCAGTTGGCAGGAGCAGCACAAGGCCTCCAGGGGTCAAGCAGGGATGGGGCCCAGTGTCCCGGGGGAAGCGTGGCCTTAGGAGCATGCTCAGCACATCCACAGCCAAGAAGGGAGGCAGAGGATTTGGCAGGGTGGGCTGGAACCTGTGGGTAGGAGTGCTTTTCTCATGGTTTCCCGGTCTGGCAGCTTTTCCTTGAAATAAGAACTAAGGCTGGGCGCAGTGGCTGACGCCTGTAATCCCAACACTTTGGGAGGCTGAGGCAGGTGGATCACTTGAGGTCAGGAGTTCGAGACCAGCCTGACCAACATGGTGAAACCCTGTCTCTACTAAAAATACAAAAATTAGTTGGGCGTGGTGCACGTGCCTGTAATCTCAGCTGCTCGGGAGGCTGAGGCAGGAGAATCACTTGAACCTGGGAGGTGGAGGTTGCAGTGAGTTGAAGTTGTGCCACTGCACTCTGGCCTGAGTGATAGACTGAGACTTTGTCTCAAAAAAAAAGAGAAAACAACTAAGACTTTCAGCTAAGCATGAGGATGGAGGAGGAGGTGTTGGGGGTTCGAGGAGGGACCTTAGCTGAGCACCTGTTTCCCAATCATAACAACTCCAGTTTGTATTTGAGGACCCCCAATGATGCTCAGAGAGGTTAAGTGATTTGACCAGGGTTACACAGCTTGAGGGAATGGGGTAGCTCCAGGATTGAAGCAGGTCATCTCATGCTCTCAGCCAGGTATGATATAGTAAATACAGAAGCAGAGTACCTTCATGGTGTCTGGGACACAGTGAGTGCTCAGTTGCAGGTTGTCAGTGCAAAGACTGAGTGGCAGGTGCAGTGTGTTCTGTCTAATACCACAGAGGCATAGCCACAGTGTTTGGAAGTCCTTGGTCCCGTCCACCAATGATGAAGGGCTGACTGTGGGCAGACTGGCTCCTGGGGAGGGGAGGTGGGCTCAGCAGGTGGCCCTGGTGTAGGGTAACCTTCAACCTAGCACACCTGGGACAGCCTTGGATGTTGGGGCCACTAACCTGGCACATAAGCCCCTTCTCTCTCCCAGTGCACCGGCTGCTGACCCATGTCCTGGGCCACACGGCCCTGCCGGGCCTGCTCCTGAGCCTGCTGCTCCTGCCCACTCTGGGCTGGCAGCAGGAGTGCCACCTGGGCACGTTGAGATTCCTGCATGCCTCAGCTCTGCTCGCCCTGGCTTCTGGGCTGCTGGCAGTACTGCTGGCAGGCCTTGGGGTGTCCGGTGCAGCCGGCAGCTGTGGATACATGCCTGTCCACCTGGCCATGCTGGCTGGGGAGGTACACCACCCTAAACGGCCCCGTGGGGCACTGCCACCATGGCTGCCACCGTGGCTGCTGCTTGTCCTGACCCCACTGCTCAGCTCTGAGCCACCCTTCCTGCAGCTCCTTTGTGGCCTCCTTGCTGGCCTGGCCTGTATCCTTTGCCTGAGCCCAGGGCCCGTGGGGATGTGTGGGTTCTGTGGGTGGGTGCCTAGGAAGGAAGTGGCACAAAGGGGTGAAGTCCCAAGCAATACCAAGGAGCCGTGCACACACATTCCAGGAGCTTCTCCAAGTCTTCCTCTGGGACATGCTCTGGGCTGGGACCTGGGGGAGTCATGGCCTGGTGGAGGTACCAATTACAATGTAAAGGGCTCCGTGGGCTCCCTGTAATATCAATGCCATTCTTCGCCGAAATAGAAAAAATAATCCTAAAATTTATATGGAACCACAAAAGGCCCTGAATAGCCAAACCACTCTGAGCAAAAAAATAAAAGTTTAAAAAACTAAAAGCCTGGCCAGGTGCAGTGGCTCACGCTTGTAACCCCAGATCTTTGGGAGGCCAGGCAAGCAGATCACTTGAGGTCAGGAGTTTGAGACCAGCATGGTGAAGCCCCATCTCTACTAAAAATTAAAAACTTAGGCCAGGCACAGTGGCTTACGCCTGTAATCCCAACACTGGGAGGCCAAGGTGGGCGGATCACAAGGTCAGGAGTTCGAGACTAGCCTGGCCAACGTGGTGAAACCCCATCTCTACTAAAAATACAAAAATTAGCTGGGCGTGGTGGCGTGCTCCTGTAATCCCAGCTACTTAGGAGACTGAGGCAGGAGAATTGCTTGAACCTGGGAGGCAGCAGCTGCAATGAGTCGAGATCATGCCACTGCACTCCAGCCTGGGCGACAGGGCGAGACCCCAGTCTCAAAGAAAACCCCCAAAAAACAAAAATTAGCTGGGCGTGGTGGCAGGCGCCTGTAGTCCCAGTTACTTGGGAGACTGAGGCAGGAGAATTGCTTGAATCCGGGAGGCAGAGCCTGCAGTGAGCCAAGATAGTGCTGCTGCACTCCAGCCTGGGCGAGACAGGAAGACTCCCTCTCAAAAAAAACAAAAGCCTAAGTGAATGGAAAGATCTCATGTTCATGGATTGCAATACTTAATATTGTTAAAATGTTAATGCTACCCAGTTGATTTATAGATCCCACACAATTCTTATCAAAATCTCAGTTGTCTTTTTTTGTTGTTGCAGAGCAATTCTTATCAAAATCTCAGTTGTCTTTTTTTGTTGTTGCAGAAATTAGCAAGCTGGTCCTAAAATTAATATGGAAATGTAAGAACCCAGAATACCTCAGATAATCTTGAAAAAGAAAAGCAAACCTGGAAGACTTACACTTTTCAATTTCAAAACTTAAAACTACAAAAGTGGCCAGGCGCAGTGCCTCACGCCTATAATCCCAGCACTTTGGGAGGCCAAGGCAGACAGATCACTTGAGGTCAGGAGTTCAAGACCAGCCTGGCCAACATGGTGAAACCTCATCTCTACTAAAAATACAAAAATTAGCAAGGCGTGGTGGTGCATACCTGTAATCCCAGCTGTTCAGGAGGCTGAGGCAGGAGAATTACTGGAACCTGGGAGACAGAGGTTGCAGTGAGCTGAGATTGCACCACTGCACTCCAGCCTGGGCGACAGAGTAAGACTCTGTCTCCAAAAAGAAAAAAAAAGCCATACAGAATTATAATAATCAAGATATTGTGGTACTGGCATCAGGATAGACATACAGATCAATGGACTAGAATTGACGATCTAGAAATAAACTGTTACATTTACTGTATAGTCAATTTATTTTGTCAACAGTGCCAAGTTGATTCAATGAGGAAAAGAATATTCTTTTTAATAAATGGTGCTAGAGGTTGGGTGAGGTGGCTTACGCCTGTAATCCTAGCACTTTGGGAGGCTGAGGTGAGCTGATTTCTTGAAACCAGCAGTTCGAGACCAGCCTGGCCAACATGGTGAAACCCTGTGTCTACTAAGAATACAAAATAATTAGCCAGGTGTGATGGCACGTGCCTGTCGGGAAGCTGAGGCAGGAGAATTGCTTGAACCTCGGAGGTGGAGGTTGCAGTGAGCTTTCACCACTGCACGTCAGCTTGGGTGACAGAGCGAGACTGTCTCAAAAATAAATAGTGCCACAGTGCTATTTATTGGGTGTTCTGCTTCTGAGAGAGAGAGAGTTTTTTTTTTTTTTTTTTAATTTTTTAGAGACAGGGTCTCATTTTGTCACCCAAGCTGGAGTGTGGCGATGCCGTCCTAGCTCACTACAGCCTTAAACTCCTGGGCTCGAGCGATCCTCTCGCCTCAGCCACCTCAGTAGCTGAGACCACGTCCAGCTAATTTTAAAATTTTTTTGTAGAGAAAGGGTCTATGTTGCCCAGGCTGGTCGTGAACTCCTGGCCTCAAGTGATCCTCCCGTCTCAGCCTCCCAAAGTGGTGGGATTATATAGCTGTAAGCCACTTCGTCCAGCCCTAAGATGATTCATACCTATCGGGGAAAACAGTGCCACTGGAGAGAACAGGCTGGCCCCTGTCCTCTGGATTGGGGACAGGAGTTATCCAGGCCTGTCTGAAGGCAAGAGCAGGTGTGTCTATGGGACTTCTTCCAGGAAGGGTGGACCTTGAGTTACAGACCTGAAAAGGTGCATAGGGTTCTGGGAACAGAGTGGGTCAGGGGTGAGCCCAGGCTTTGGGGTAAGGCATACCTGGCTCTGGCTGAGTAGTTTCAGGCAGATCCCTTTTCCTTTCTGAGCCTCTCCTGCTGACCAGGGTGACGCTATTCCATGCTGGGCCACAGTGAGGAGATGGGAGGGAATGGTGGCCAGCACACTTGGCATGGGGCCTGCCTGTGGCGTGGGCCCACCCCTGGCTGCTTTTGGTTTTCCTTGACTGGCCGCCCTGCCCCGGGCAGACAGACGCAGCTGGGGCCTTCCGGTGGCTGGAACCCTCAGAGCGACGGCTGCAGGCGCTGCAGGAGGGCGTTTTGTGCGGGACCTTGGCGGGGTGCTGGCCCCTGAGGCTCCTTCCCACCCCGGGCAGCCTGGCGGAGCTGCCTGTCACCCATCCTGCCGGAGTGAGGTGAGGGTGATGGGGGGGATGCCAGCCCAGGTGGGCACTGTGGCAGGGCTGGCAGTCAGGCCCTCTTCTGTTCCCACTCCCCTAGGCCTCCCATCCCTGGACGGCCTTATGTAGCCTCCCCTGACCTCTGGTCCCACCGTGAAGGCTCAGCCCTGTCCCCACCAGGCCTGAGGCCTGTGCAGCCCACCTGGGAGGGGTCCTCAGAGGCCAGCCTGGACTGGGCTGGGGCCAGCTTCTCCCCAGGGACTCCGATGTGGGCGGCCTTGGATGAGCAGATGCTGCAGGAGGGCATCCAGGCCTCACTTCTTGACGGGCCAGCCCAGGGGCCCCAGAGCGCACCATGGCTGTCCAAGTCCTCTGTCTCCTCTCTGCGGTAAGGTGGAGTGGGCAGAGGGGGGGTCCCCTCGTGTAGAGGCCGGTGTGGCCCCGACACTCCCCACTTGTCCCCCCACCCCCCACAGGCTGCAGCAGCTGGAGCGCATGGGCTTCCCCACGGAGCAGGCGGTGGTGGCACTGGCAGCCACAGGCCGCGTGGAGGGTGCCGTGTCACTGCTGGTTGGAGGACAAGTGGGCACTGAGACCCTGGTGACCCAGGGAAAGGGTGGGCCTGCCCACTCCGAGGGTCCTGGGCCTCCCTAGCCCAGGCAGAGAGTGAGGCACAGGCAGGCCCTTGGGTACTAAGGGCTGGGCTGCATGTGGGTAGCCTGAGCTCCTGCTCTGTCTACTGAGGACCACAGTGGGGAGCAGGGGCACCTCTGGAGACAGGAGAGGCCAGCATGCTGCCCTAGTATGTGTTTAGAATAAAAACCAGTTTGTTTTTCAACCTGGACCTCCTTGGAGGCAGCAGTTGTGTTTGACTCTTCTGTGTTGGCATCAGGGGGATGAATGAATGAGCGAGCACCAAATGAATGACCAGTTGTGGGAGAGCTGTTCCCTGATGTCCGGAGACACAGGCTTCCTGGCCCTGCACCATGTAGCCTGTACCTCCAGGAGGCTCTGTCCTCCAACACAGAGCATTCTTCACCACCCATTTCCAGCTCTCCTCCCATCGTATTCTCATTCCTAGCTGCCCCCATCTAACCACACACTGAGACCAGGCTGCGGGGAATCAGGTAGGGGCCTTTATTGGCCAGCACACATCTACCTCCTGGCATCTGTCACAAGCATTTGTGGGAGCAGGCAGCCCCTTCTCCATGCCCCCATCCCCAACCTGAGATGTGGGAGGGCCTGGGGGCTCAGAGGGGAGAAATGAGGCAAGAAGCCCCTGGTGATCCAGTCAGAGGATTGGGCAGCTTGACCTCGGGGTGGGGAACCCAGCACTGGACAACAAGGAGGGAGGGGCACAGGAGGGCTCCCCGAGGTTTGGTTGGGGAGGAGAGGGAGGAGGACTGCTCCCTTCCCTGTCATCCCTGCATGTGCTAAGCCCCAACTCCTGAGCCCTCCTGTGTCCCTCAGTGCCTTTGGGCCTGGATACTCAGACAGCAGATGAGACGAAGCCTTGTACCTCTACCCCTCCTTGAAGGCCTGCCTCCCCCCACTTCACAGAGGGAAACTGAGGCCCAAGCCTCTCCTCTCAGCCCCTGCTCAGCCTCAGACGTGTATGGTGCCAGGACTGAGACCTGCTTACCCCTAAGGCCTAGATGGCAGAAGGGACCCTGAGGATATTAATAAATATGGACGGGCGGTCCCTGGAGGCAGCTGGCCGAGTCCAGGTAGGAGGGGAAGCCTGGCCTTGTCTGCCCCAAGGGCCGCCACCGCCCTCAGCCTCTTTCGTCCCGGCTCCTGGGGGCCACGATCCGGTAGTTGGCTGCATGTCCGCCCCTCTTGCCCCGAAGGAGGCTGGGGGTGCCTGTGCCGGCAGGGCCTCCCCCAGACCCCATCTCTGGTTCTGCCGGAGGGAAGGAGAAGGAGAGAGGCCACATCAGGGGGGTTCATGTGAGGTACCCACCTCCCCTTGGCCCTCTAGGGGGTGGCAGAACTGGGCACCCTCTGCCAGGTATAATCCACCCTGGTATCTGGCTGCAGAGCTGTGGGAAAGGGGGTCTACAGATTGGGGTCTGTCAGGACTTACCAGCACCCCCAACCCAAGGAGAGCACTCAGCGCTTCTGTTTGATTCCTGCTTTGTCAAGTGGGGTTAACCACACCCGCCGCCTTTAGGAAGTGTTTAGCATGCCGTGAATGCTTCACGTAAATGCTGCTTCTTTTTTCGATTCATTTTGGGGTGGAGGTGTACCCTGAATCATCCCTATGTGGTAGCTGGGTAAACTGAGGCTAGGGAACAGACTTGGGCTAGGCCACCAGTTGGGGGGAAGGGCTTAGAAGGCCAGGCTCTGCCACTGACCTACTGTGCAGTCTTGGGTGAGCTGGACCTCTATCAGGGTCTCAGTCATCTCATTGCTAAAACAGGGCAGTTCCGGATGGAACCGGAAAACTACTCATCTTTCAAAACCAAGGGTAGGAGCTATCTCCTCCAGGAAGCCTTCTGTGACTATCATCTCAGCCCTTCCCGAAGTAAAATGAGCAGGCCAGGCAGGTCAGAATAGGCTGTTTTTCTAGGGGGAGATGGACACTCAGGGAGGAGAGGGCCATGGGGGAGGACTCGGCTAAGCCTCCATAGGACAGATACTTGGGTTCTGGTGAACACCAGGTTCCCATTGAGGGCACTGCTAGGGAGTGGGCTATCCCCTCGTAATCATGACTGTGCCCTGAGCCTGTGTGGCCCAGCCACCTGTACACCTCTGGGTTGAGATGAGGGCTCTTGGAGCAGACAGGCATATGTGGTCACTGAAAGGGACATTCCATGCCTTAACTCAAGGAGCATGGGAGGGGAGCGGCACAGAGCACTGGCCCCAGTGCCAGCTAGGATTGTGTACTGGTCCTACTCTGCCAGTTATGTGGCCTTGGGCAAGTCGCAGAACCTCTGAGTGTCATCTGGAATGTGGGGATAAATAGTCCCGTTTTTACACCCTTGTGATACATGTGTTTACCATGACCAGGACTGGAAAGTGGTTTTCACAGGAAATCCTGCATTATTATGGTTACTAGGTTGGTGTCGCTTCCACCCAGGTCTCCTGCAGGTCTGGTCCCTGTGAGTTTGTCACAATCAAATTTGGGGCCCTGGATGAGTGGCAGAGTCAGCAAACTTTTGCTGGTGAAGCCCAAAGGGCCAGCATGTTAGAGGAGAGACCTGGGGTGGACCCCTAGCCTGACCATTCCCATTCCTGTGACCCTGAAGCAGTCATAAGAGCCTCCGAGCCTCTGTTTCTTCATCTGTAAAATGGCCATGGCATCGCTCACCTAGCAGGCTTACTACTCTAAGAGACTGGAGATGATCGATCCAGCCCAGGTGGGCCAGACACGTGGCAGCTGATACTATTATAATTATTGATTATAACCTAAACAGGAACCCCATCTGGGTCTTCAGTAGCACCTGATGTGTATGTTGGGCCAATGGGGAGGGTTGCATCTCCCACTCCTCCGACCTATCCCTTCAAGCCCCGACCCAAGCTGGCTCGAGGGGCCACTGGCAGTGGGTGTGGGACTTTTGAGGTGCCTGGCACTTTTCTCCCTGGGCTGTCAGAGACAGAGCTGGCCGAAGGCAGGGACAGATCCAGAGCCATGGTGGCCCAAATGTGTCCCTTCTGGCTCCTGCCCCAATCCTCAGAGAGAAGGTGGGGACACCTAAAAAGGTTCTGAGAGCCTGAGATTTGGTCCTTGGCCCCTCTCTGTAAGAGGGGAGGAGGTCTGGGAGCTAGGCACTGAAGTTTCTAGAAGTTAGAGAAGCATGCGGCACTGTGGGAGGAGCTTTGGAAGCAGACCCCACACCCTTCCCAGCCTCTGGGCCTCTGCACAGGCAGGACTCTCTCAAGGCTGCCCTGCCCACTTCCCCACCTGGCACACTCATTGGGATCTTCCAGTACCCAACACAGAGTCCCCTCTTCCAAGAAGCCTTCTCTAACCCCTAGGGACAAGTGACTGTTCCTCACCCACATCCTTCCGTGCTCCCCTACCCCATATCTCCGTAGATACGATTCCCTGCCACTCATGGCCAGCTCCCCAAGGCCGGCACCTATCTATACTCCAGAGTGCCAGTGCCCAACCAGGCCTGGCTTTCAATGAGTGTTCTCTACAGTTTTGCTGGATGAAGGAGGCTGGGCTCTAACCTTAACTCTCCTTCCTGCTTGGGACCTAAGTTTCTCAGTCTTTTTGTTTTTGAGCAAGAAGGGTCAGCCTTTGGCAAAGAGGATATTGGGGAAACAATCTGAGGTTTTCTTTTCTTTTTTTTGAGACGGAGTCTCGCTCTGTCTCCCAGACTGGAATACAGTGGTGCGATCTTGGCTCACTGCAACCTCCGTCTCCCGGATTCAGGTGATTCTCCTGCCTCAGCCTCCCGAGTAGCTAGGATTACGGGCACCCACCACCATGCCTGACTAATTTTTAGTAGAGATAGGGTTTCGCCATGTTGCCTAGGCTGGTCTCGAACTCCTGACCTCAGGTGATCCGTACGCCTCAGCCTCCCAAAGTGCTAGGATTACAGGCGTGAGCCACCGCGCCCAGCCTCTCAGTCTTTAAAATAGATGCGAGGTTGGACATGATGTGGAGGCCTCTGTGCATTGTTGTGAGATGGGCTGTGAGATGGTGTGGCAGGGCAGGTGAGGAACAGAGCTCAGACCGTCAGGCAGCCAATCCCTTCCTTTCTTCAGGGCCAGCCACAGGCTCCAGTTTCATGAGCAAAGACCTCAGCTTCATTCCCAGGAGCCAGACGCAAGGCGGGGTACCACCCACTGGTGTCTAACCAACTCCTGTGCTACCCCATCCTGCCTTCTAGGACCTTCTTGATCTAGGCCCTGCCAGATTCTGTCGCTTCTAGGCTCCTTCTGGTCTCTTGGCCTTCGCTCATGCTGTTTCTCTGCCTGTTCACTCTCCCCAGATCCTTGCCCTTCAGGTCTCCACTTAGATATCACCCTCCAGGAAGACCTCCCTCAACCCCCTCCAACCTCCTCTGGGCCAGGTCAGAGGCACTTCTGTATTCCCATGGCTGCCTGTACTCCCTTCCCTGCAGTGTACCTCACCTTGGGTTTCTCTACCAGTGTCAGGGTTCTCCTGAGCGCCCCCAGCACCCTACACTCCTCGAGGGCAGGACTATGTCTGTCTTATCTTGTGGAGCCTGTCCCAATAAGGTGCCTGGCACAGAGCAGGTATTCATTCACTCGAGTGACCAGAGCCTTCTCTCTGCCAGGCACCATCTGCTGGCTGGCTGGCTGGATGAAGAATGAGTGTCCGCTGGCCTGGGTCGAGCATTGGAAGGCACCTTCTGCATGCCCAGGCCCTTCCTGGAAGAGGCTGCCCCTGCCTGCCCGCCCTGCCATTACCTGGCCAGATGATGGCTTCCAGCAGGGTGACCCGTCTGGCCAGGAGCTCCAGCTGAGCCTGCTGCTGCAGGAAGCTCTGTAAGCTAGGAGCCTGATGGGAGATGGAGAAGAGCAGACGGTGCGAGTCTGGCCTCTGAGGGCTGGGCTGGGAAGCCAAGCCGGGAGGGTGGGAGGGCACTGCCAGCTGCCATCAGGGCAGGAGCCTGGGAGTGAGTCTCAGTACTGAGACTTCAGTCTCCCCTCCTATGGTGGGGACAGGGCTGGCCTGGATCCTCAAGTAACCACATGGGTGGGGAGTTTCTGGGTGAATGCTTGGGGTGAAAGCCTGGCTCTCTTAGTCCCCTAAAGGGACCAATAGAACACGTTAGGAGGACCAAGGGGAAAACTGCAAAGGGGACACCTGAGGCCAGGAGGGTCTGCCTTGTGAGAGCCTCTGGGGGATTATGGGAGAGGAAGGTCAGAACTGGTAGGTAGTGCATTACCCAGAGTCCCCTGGGGCCTGAGCCTGGCTCTGTCACCCACAGTCCCCTGCCCTTCTGGAGTCTTGCTCCACGACCTATTGTCCTGCGGGCCTGACTCTGTTACCCATGATTTCTCTAGAGCTGAAGGCTGACTAGAGTCTGGATCCATTACCTGTAATCCTCCTGTTCCCCTGAGCTGTGATTTGGTTACCCATGATCCCTTGCACTGCAGGAGTCTGGCTCTGTTACCCACAATCCCACTGCTAGACTGGAGTTTGGTTCCATTGCCCACAATTTCTTCCAAACTTGAAATCTGTTATCTCTGGTTCCCTGCAGGCCTAGAAACCACATTACCCATAATGCCTAGAGGCCCAGGTCTGACCACAGCAGTAGGGCCTGGGTTTCTAGGGTACCCCTGCACCCATGGAGGAGGGAACCAGTCATTGAGGGATGGGTGGTTGTGGTCTCTCAGGTCCATGCTTGCCTGGGACAGGCACCTTCTCCAGTCTCATGACTGGGCTCAGGCCAGTTCCACCCCAGAAGGGCTTGGGGAAGGCTGGCAGGCAGGGGTTGGACCGTCTGTCCATCTGTCTGTCTCTACTCACCATAGAGCCCAATCATTGTTTCCAAGATTAAAACCCTCTCAGCTAAAATCTTCAAAGCCTCGCGTAGTTGGTGCAACCCCTCCCCCTGTGGAGGAAAGAGACAGATGCAGCCGTGAAGGGGGCAGGGGAGGGGACCCCGCAAAGCCCGTCAGTGGCCCATGCCCCACCCAGGACATGCACCTGCAGCCCCCACACTACCTGCCACAGCCCAGGGTCCATGGACAGCCAGAACAAGACCGGTTGAGGACAGGAAGGGGGACAACAAGGCAGGCGGAAGGAAGCAACCCCTGCGGGACCTCCCAGAAGGTCCCTTTGGATCCCAGCTGGCTGCTCTCCTACACTGCCGCAAATCCTGCTGCGCTGAAGGTGAGGCGAGCCAATCTTCAGGGGCAGAACGGCCACCCCAGAGGCTGCTGGGAGTCCTCCTGTCTTCTAATGTCTGTCACTCAGCACCAGTTGCTCTCCCAACACCTGCATGACTATATTCCTTGGTCACCTATATGTTTATTTACTTCACATTCTTTTTGCTGTAAATCACTACATTAGCTTCACCCTAATTACTCTGATCAGTGAGCTCAGGCTAGTTACCAGTATTTTCACTTATGCCCAAATGAATATATGGATGTTCCTTGACTTGCAATGGCGTTTCATCCAGATAAACCCAGTGTAAGTTGAAAATATCGCAAGTCAAAACCGCATCTTTGAGACGGAGTTTCGCTCTTGTTGCCCAGGCTGGAGAGAAATGGCATGATCTCGGCTCACCACAACCTCCACCTCCCAGGTTCAAGCGATTCTCCTGCCTCAGCCTCCAGAGTAGCTCATGCCCTACCACGCCTGGCTAAATTTGTATTTTCAGTAGAGACAGGGTTTCTCCATGTCGGTCAGGCTGGTCTGGAACTCGGCCTCAGGTGATCCGCCTGCCATGGCCTCCCAAAGTGCTGGGATTACAGGCATGAGCCACTGTGCCCAGCCAATAAGATTTTTTTTTTAAGAGACAAGGGTCTTGCTACGTTGCCCAGGCTGGTCTCGATTTCCTGGCCTCAAGTGATCCTTCTATCCCAGCTTCCCAAAGTGTTGGGATTACAGTCCACAGTCTTGACAACACTCCATACTCCCTCATTCCTTCCTCTTTCCTAGTCCAGAAACAAAGCTATTTCCAGAATGTAGATCTCTCAATTCCAGCAGCATGCCAGGATGACTAATAGAACTATCTCAGCCCTGATGACATCTGGAAATCTCTCTTGGTGTCCTTTACTCAGTAAAGTGAAGGGATGGACAATATGTATAATTGTATAATTACAAGCCAACCCTTTAAGGTTGTTGCTTCTCACAAAACCATCTAAACAACTGAGAATTCTCTCAATATGTCCATCATGAGCCTGCTCGCTGGGGCCGACCCTTGTGATCCAGCTGTCCTGTCCACATCACATGGATTGGGCGACCCTCAGGCTGCTGAATGGCCATTTCAGCCTGGGGGTCCCAGGGTCACCACGGGCTGCATGCCAAAGTAATCCCCCTTTGAGTATTGCAGGGGCAGGATCTAAAAATGAATGACCTTCACTGGGCACAGTGGCTTACACGTGTAATTTCAGTGCTTTGGGAGACCAAAGTGGCAGGATCACTCAAGGCTAAGAGTTTGAGACCAGTCTGGGGAACATAGCAAGACCCCATATCTACAAAAAATTAAAAAATTTGGGTGGGCACGGTGGCTGTCATGTAATCCCAGCACCTAGTGACACTTTGGGAGGCCAAGGTGGGTGTATCACTTGAGGTCAGGAGCTCTAGTGCAGCCTGGCCAACATGGTGAAACCCCATCTCCACTAAAAATACAAAAATTAGCTGAGCATGGTGGCGTGCACCTATAGTCCCAGCTACTTGGGAGGCTGAGGCAGGAGAATCACTTGAACCCAGGAGGCAGAGGTTGCAGTGAGCTGAGATCACACCACTGTACTCCAGCCTGGGTGACGGAGGGAGTATCCATCTCAAAAAAAAAAAGAAAAAAGAAAGAAAGAAAAAATATTAGTTGGGTGTGGTGGCGCACACCTGTACTTCTAGCTACTGTGGAGGCTGAGGTGGGAGGTTCACTTGAGCACAAGAGTTTGAGGCTACAGTGAGCTATGATTGTACCACTGCACTCCAGGATAGGTGACAGAGCAAGATCATGTCTCAAAAAAAGCTGGGGGGCCTGGCATGGTGGCTCACACTTTAATTCTGACACTTTAAGAAGCCAAGGTGGGAGGATCACTTGAGCCCAGCCAGGGCAACATAGTGAGACCCCATCTCAAAAAAAAAAAAAAAAAAGGCCCAATACAGTGGCTCATGTCTGTAATCCCAGCACTCTGGGAGGCTGAGGTGGGTGGACTGCTTGAGCTCAGGAGTTACAGACCAGCCTAGCCAACATGGCGAAATCCCATCTCTACTAAAAATACAAAAATTAGCCAGGCATGGTGGTGTGTGCCTGTAGTCCCGGCTACTTGGGAGGCTGAGGTGGGAGGATTGATGCCCAGGAGGCTAAGGCTGCATTGGGCCGAGATCGTACCACTGCACTCTGGCCAGGGCGACAGAAACCCTGTCTTAAAAAAAGAAAAAATTAAAAAATTAGCCAGGCGTGGTGGTGTGTACTTGTAATTCCAGTACTTTGGGAGGCTGAGGTGGGAGGGTGGCTTGGGCCCCTGAGGTGGAGGCTGCAGTGAGCCATGATCACGTCACTGTACTCCAGTCTGGGCAACACAGCAAGACCCTATCTCAAAAAATAAAAAATAAAAAAAGATGATCTTAAAAAATTCCAGGCTGAGCACGGTGGCTCATGCCTGTAATCCCAGCACTTTAGGAGGCCGAGGCGGATAGATCACCTGAGGTCAGGAGTTCAAGACCAGCTTGGCCAACGTGGAAAAACCCTGTCTCTACTAAAAAAATATATATATATATACACACACACACACACACGTATATATGTATGTGTATATATACGTATATATATGTGTATACATATATACACACACGCAAAAATTAGCTGGGTGTGGTGGCACATGCCTGTAATCCCAGCTACTCAGGAGGCTGACGCAGGAGAATTGCTTGAACCCAGGAGGCAGAGGTTGCGGTGAGCAGAGAGCATGCCATTGCACTCCAGCCTGGGCAACAGAGCAAGACTCTATCTCAAAGGAAAAAAAAAAAGATGAAAAAAATATTCCATTAAGCCATTCCCGGCATGGACAATGGGACAAGCTGACATGAGCCTCCTAACAAGGTACAATAAAAGGCACCACAAGTGCCCCTGCCAAGAGTATTTAGCCTGCATCTCATCATGAAGAAACAATCAGACAAATTTAAATTGTGGGACATTCACACAAAGACAAAGTCAAGAGAAGATGAAAAAGGCAGGAGGCCTGTTTCAAAAGAGACTAGAAATGTGGCAACCAAACGCAATGTGTGAAAACCTTGATTAGATTTTAGACTTGACTGATGGATTGATTGAGACAAGGTCTTGCTCTGTTGCCCAGGCTGGAGTGCAGTGGCGTGATCATGGCTCACTGTAGCCTTAACTTTCAGGACTCGGATGGTCCTCCTGTCTCAGTCTCCCAAGTAGCTGGGACTACAGGTGTGTGCCACCACACCCAGCTAATTGGAAAAAAATATTTTTTTTTTTTGTAGAGACAGGTGTCCCCCTATATTGCCCAAGCTGGTCTCAAAACTCTTGGGCTCAAAAGAGCCTCCTACCTTGGCTTTCCAAAGTGCTGGGATTATAGGCATGAGCCACCTTGCCCAGACAGATCTTGGACTTTGAAAAAAAAAGAGCTTTAAAAGGCATTTTGGGGGCCAGGTGTGGTGGCTCACACCTGTAATCCCAGCACTTTGGGAGGCTGAGGCGGGCGGATCACCTGAGATCAGGAGTTTGAGATCAGCCTGGCCAACATGGTGAAACATCGTCTCTACTAAAAATACAAACATTAGCCGGGCATGGTGGCGGGTGCCTGTAATCCCAGCTACATGGGAGGCTGAGACAGAAGAATCGCTTGAACCCAGGAGTCAGAGGTTGCAGAGAGCAGAGATTGTGCCATTGCACTCCAGCCTGGGCGACAAGAGTGAAACTCAGTGTCATAAATAAATAAATAAATAAGTAAGTAAATAAATAAAGGTATTTTGGGGGTCAGGCATGGTGGTTTACGCCTGTAATCCCAGCACTTTGGGAGGCTGAGATGGGTGGATCACCTAAGGTTAGGAGTTCGAGATCAGCCTGGCCAACATGGGGAAACCCTGTCTTTACTAAAAATACTAAAATTAGCCGGGCATGGTGGCACACGCCTGTAATCCCAGTTACTCAGGAGTTGGAGGTAGGAAAATGGCTTGAACCTGCGAGGCGGAGGTTGTAGTGAGCTGAGATCATGCCACTGCACTCCAGTCTGGGTGACAGAGACTCCATCCTGGTGCTCCAGCCTGGGTGACAGAGACTCCATCTCAAAAAAAAAAAGGCATCCGGGGACAAGTGGTAAAATTTACAGGTAAGTCACATATTAAATGGCATCATTTTGCTAAATCAATGTTAGCTTTCTTAAGTATGACGATGGTATTGTGGTTATGTGGGAGAATGTTCATGTTCATTCACGGTGCACACTGCAATGTTAGGGGAAACGTGGCTGGGTTTTGCAGCTTACTTTTAAATGAATTTGAAAAAAAGATCTATAAATATATAAGAGAGAATGACAGAACAATTGTGGCTCAATACAGTCATATGTCACGTAATGATGTTTCAGTCAGTGATGGATCGCATATCTCCATGGTGGTCTCATAAGATTATAATGGAGCCGAAAAATTCCCATTGCCTAATATTTACTATATTTTACCTATTTACTTATTTATTTTTCAGAGTCTTGCTGTGTCGCCCAGGCTGGAGTGCAGTGGCGTGATCTCATCTTACTGCAGCCTCAACCTCCCCGGCTCAAGCGATCCTCCCACCTTAGCCTCCCAAGTACCTGGGACCACAGGCACGTGCCATCACATTCAGCTAATTTTTTTATTTGTACAGACAAGGTCTCACTACATTGCCTAGGTTGGTCTGGAACTCCTGGGCTCAAGTGATCCTCCTGCCTTGGCCTCCCAAAGTGCTGGGATTATAGGTGTGAGCCACTGCACCTGGCCATATGCTATACTTTAAATTGTTATTGTAGAGTGTACTCCTTCTACTTATTTAAAAAACAGTTAACTGTGAAACAGCCTCAGGCAGGTTCTTCAGGAGGTATTCCAGGAAAAGGCATTGTTATCACAGGAGATGACAGCTCCACGTGTGTTACTGCCCAGAAGACCTTCCAGTGGGAGAAGAGGTGGACATGGAGACAGTGATATTGGTGATCCTGACCCTGTGTAGGCCTAGGCTAATGTTGTGTGTTTGTGTCTTAGTTTTAGCAAAAACATTTAAAAAGTCAAAAATAAAAAATAAAAAAAAGGCCAGGCACGGTGGCTCATGCCTGTAATTCCAGCACTTTGGGAGGCTGAGGCGGGCAGATCACTTGAAGTCAGGAGTTCGAGACCAGCCTGGCCAGCCAACATGGTGAAACCCCATCTCTACTAAAAATACAAAAAATTAGCTGGGCGTGGTGGCTCATGCTTGTAATCCCCGCTACCCAGGAGGCTGAGGCAAGAGAATCGCTTGAACCTGGAAGATGGAGGTTGCAGTGAGCTGAAATCACACCACTGCACTCCAGCCTGGGCGAAAAAACCTTTTTTTTTTTTTTTTTTTTGAGACGGAGTCTTGCTCTGTCGCCCAGGCTGGAGTGCAGTGGCCGGATCTCAGCTCACAGCAAGCTCCGCCTCCCGGGTTTACGCCATTCTCCTGCCTCAGCCTCCCGAGTAGCTGGGACTACAGGCGCCCGCCACCATGCCCGGCTAGTTTTTTGTATTTTTTAGTAGAGACGGGGTTTCACTGTGTTAGCCAGGATGGTCTCGATCTCCTGACCTCGTGATCCGCCCGTCTCGGCCTTCCAAAGTGCTGGGATTACAGGCTTGAGCCACTGCGCCCGGCCCCAAAAACCTTTTATAGTGTATTTTTACTATACCTTTTCTATGTTTAGATACACAAATATGATTGTGTTGCAGTTGCCTGTAATATTTAGCATAGTAACATGCTGTTTAGGTTTGTAGCCTGGGAGCAATTAGCTACACCACACAGATGAGGTGTGCCGCAGGCTATCCCATCCAGGTTTGTGTACGTATATTGTATGATGCTCATGCCACAACGAAATCATCTCATGGCATATTTCCCAGAACATATCCCCATTATTAAGCGGCACATGGCTATAACAATAATTGGTCCATCTACAGGAAGGGCAGAATGACATTCATTGTACCAACTTTTCTGTATATCAAAATGCAAAATGGCTGGGTTCAGTGGCTCACACCTGTAATCCCAGCACTTTGGGAGGCCGAGGTGGGTGGATCACATGAGGCCAGGAGTTCAAGACCAGCCTGGCCAACATGGTACAACCCCATCTCTACTAAAAATACAAAAATTAGCCAGGAGTGGCTACAGAGTCCCAACTACTCAGGTGGCTGAAGCATGAGAATTGCTTGAACCCAGGAGGCAGAGGCTGCAGTGAGCTGAGATCGAGCTGTTGCACTCCAGCCTGGGTGATAGAGAGAGACTCTGTCTCAATAAAAAAGGGAAAAAAATAAAATAAAAATAAAAAAATAAAAATACTGGGGAGGCCAGGTGTAGTGGCTCACACCTGTAATCCCAACACTGTGGGAGGCTGAGGTAGGAGGATCACTTGAGGCCAGGAGTTTGAGACCAGCCTGGGAAACATAGTGAGATCTTGTCTGTATTTTTTCAAAACATAAAAATAAAAACAAAAATCTGGGCATAAGTGTTTTTAAAATCCATTGTTTGGAACTCCCTCAGACAGATGGCCTGATGTTTGCATTGATGACAACCCAGTCTCCTCCGGCCTGGCCTGCCCTCTGCACTTCAGATCTAAGTGTCTGGGCCTGCTGGACGCCCCTACTTGGCTGTAACACAGACTCCTCCCGTTGGTTCACAGACAAAACTCAGCCTGCTTGCTTCTCCTGGTTCTCTTTTGCTATTTGAAGTCTCCCTTGACTCCTCACTCCCTTTTGCAGCCAAACCAGCACACAAGTGTCTTTTTGCTCCATCGATGGCTGTCTGTCCTCACTGGCTCCCACCCCCTGCCCGGCTCAGACTCTCACCAGGATGACCACAACAGCTCCCTACCTACCATCTTCTGCTTTTCCCATCCATTCGCCAAGGCAACCGGGGGGATTTTTGCAAATAAATAAAAAAAAACCTGACCACATCATTCCCCTGCTTCTCGAGCCTTCAATGCCTCCCCACTGCCCTAGAACAAAGCCCAAATTCCTGAATGTGGCCTCCTACCTTTGGCCTCTGTTCCACTCTCTGCCTGTCACAATGCCACTCCAAGTATTTTCAGCTCCTCAAATATCCAAGGCTCCCTCTTGCCACAGGGGCTATGCACCTGTTGTACCCCCGCCTCTGCCTGGACACCCCGTGCCTGGTTAATGCACCTTTCAGGCTTCACCTGGCTCCTCCGGGAGAATGCTAAAGTGTGAAGTGTTTATAAAGTTGACAGTCCTGTAGCTGCTGATTATAGGTCTTTTTCACCCCACCTCACTGTGACCACCCTGAGGGTGGGGACTGTGTCTGAATTGCATCTGTGTCCACAGTGCCCAGCCCCAGGTCTGGTGCCCATGGAGGAGATGCTTGGGGAATGGTAGCTGGTTCTCTGGACCTAGGAGCTTAAAAGTCAGGGCTCCAGTTCCCGCTCTGCCAAGGATTCTCTCTGCAGAGTCGGGCCTCAGTTTCCCTGTCTGAATAAGGGGTAAGAGCTTTGATCCAGGTGGGCAGGCCCAGCGTAGTCATTCCAGTTCCTGCAGTGCACTATCATGACCACCAGGCGTCACTGCCGGGCCACAGCCAGAACGCCCGTCTGCACGCTGCACTAAGGGAGTTGGTTGGTGAAGTGTACATAGGAGCCCTCCGGGACCTTGCCAGCACTGAACCTCATTCCCACCTGTCCCCAACAGAGCTGTTCCCCCAGCCCCCAAAGCCTCATGCAACCCCCAGCCCAGCAGGTCCCCTCCCAGGCAAGCAGCAAGCAGGGGCAGAAATGCAGGTAGAAGAGGGGCAGGAAGGTGGGTGGGCAGGGGCCCTGCTACCTCTTGTGGGGAGCCCACAGGTGGTTCTAGGTTCAAGGACTGGTCTAGGGTGGCCAGGGCATCTTGCCGGGGGTTCTCATGAAGGGAAGGGACTGCCCAATCTCTCCCATCCCTTCTGGGCTGGGTGGTAAATGTGTTCCCAGACCAACGGCCTCTGGGAGAGGCCAGCAAGTAGCCTAGGGGAGGCAGAGGGTCAGGCACGCATGGGTCTAACTGACCCCAGCTCAGCTCATGCCCATACTGGCAGTTTTAAGAGGCTCTGGAGCTACGGAGGATGGGCATGGGGTAGGAGGAGATTCAGGGCAGCAGGGGCCAGGAGAGGCTAACTGGAGAGGTAGCAGGTCCCCAGAAGTCATAGGCAGCACAGGGGAAGACTCGTGCAGGGTAGGGGGCTCCCACGGCTGTATCCATCACTGACCCCACAATCAAGAACTGAGAGGGCAAGGCAGGCACGGGGTGCCACCCACATCCTCACTAACTTGTGACTGCCAGGAAGTAGGGTGTCCCATCCAGACTGCATGTGGAGGGGGAGTCACAATACCACCCCCCAAAAAGAGCTCCCTAGTTGTCTCTCTCTTCTGAAGGAGTGCCTGCCTCCACTCTGTCCATTTTCTAGATGTCTCCCCTGTCAGTGATGGCTTCCAGATGCCCGTGTCATGGGGCTTTTGGGTATGGTGTGTTTTAGGGTCCTCATCTTTCTCCCGCTTCTCTTGGGTGAGTAGATTTCTAGGTCCTGACCCGAAAATCCCTTCCCTGCAATGATCTCCAATGATTGTGAAGGTTTCTACTTTCTTTTCTTTTCTTTTTTTTTTTGAGACAGAGTCTCTCTCTGTCGCCCAGGCCAGAGTGCAGTGGCACGATCTCAGCTCACTGCAACCTCTGCCTCCTGGGTTCAAGTGATTTCCCTGCCTCAGCCTCCTGAATAGCTAGGACTACAGGTGCTCACCACCATGTCCAGCTAATTTTTGTATTTTTAGCCCAAAACTTTTAGGCTGATTTTGTATTTTGTATTTTTGTATTTTTTTTTTTTTTGTATTTTAGAGATGGGGGTTTTGCCACATTGGCCAGGCTGGTCTCGAACTCCTGACCTCAAGTGATCCACCTGCCTCGGCCTCCCAGAGTACTGGGATTACAGGCATGAGCCACCACACCCCGGACGATTGTGAAGGTTTCTAGGACCCCACATTAATCATGAGATTTTGGGGTATGTGGTTTCTAGTTCCCCCTTCTTGTCCCCCTTCTCATTTACTCTGTCTCCTGTATATGTGAGAGTTTCTAGGCTTCTCTTCTCATCCATCATGGGTCTCCTATGTATGTGATGGTGTCTAGGACCTTGTGTAAACTATAGGTCCTTTAAGTATAGAGAAGTCTAGGTCACCTGGCCTCATTAACCACGTTAAACGTGTACATAGCAGTTTCGAGGAGTCTCTTCACAGGCTTTGTGCATTTCCAATGTGTATGGTGGTATCTAGTTCCCCATCCCTTTTACCACGTGGCTCCTATGTACCTCGTCATTTCTAGGCCCCTTTCCTAGGTCCCCTATCCCATGCTCCTGTGTAGATATTGTCTTCGTTCTTCCCTTTGTTCTGCAGACAAGGGAGCAAGCCAAGCCATTGCTGGGAAGGGGCTATGGAGGCAGGGGATGCAGTCTAGCCTGGGTCAGCCCAATCCACCCAGTAGGAACAGGCAGAGCCACCCTGGCCTGGAAAGGCCACAGAGGGAAGGTGGAGACAGGGACAGAGACTGAGACAGAAGGCATGGGGTCTGCTGATAGGGCTGGCCCTGCCCGGTTGGGAGCAACAAGATAGGGGAGGGAGTTGAGGCTGAGAATTGCCAAGGCTTCTGCCTGGGAGACCAGGCTGTAGTGGGGATGTGGATGGTGTGCTCCCACTCCCAGGGCCTCCTGGGGAGGGAATACTCTCTTGAGCACCTAGGGCTGAGAAGGCAGGAAGAGGCCAATGCCAGACCAGAGCTTACCCAGTGGCTCTTCTCACCAGGGTCTCCCTTGGGGCCAGGCTCCCCCTACAAGGGGAGAAAGAGATAGCAGCAGTGAGGAAGGGAAGGAGACAGAAAGGGAGGGGAAAAAAAAGAGGGAGGAAAAAGAGAGGGGAGAGGGAGAAAAACTTAGAGAAACAGACAGAAAGTAGCTTGTATTGGATACAAAGCAAAAACGAACTTCTTGAAGGCAACAGAAAGTAATAAAAAGCAGCCAGAAACTGGAGAATATTCAACCCTTAAAATAAGGGAATAGCACTGGGTAAAATCCATATACTTACACCTTTTCCTTAGAGGGTGCACCCCAGCCCTATCAGCCTGGCAAAATAGAGCTTAAGCAGAAAGTTTCAGTTTTATTGGCCTGAGGAGTCAGAGGTTGAGGTTGCCAGAGAAGCAAGCAATTGATGAGAAATACTGGGAAGCAGGGAGCCACAAGTGCGGGAACTAAATCTGTGTAAATGTTCCTTTCTAACACTTGGATGGTCCCTGGATTGCCCTATCACAGGACAACACTCTAAGGAGCCCAGTGGGGGAGAACCAACAGATTGGCAGAACTGACTAAAATTGCCAAAAATTGCCCACCATGTAGGAGACAGAGTTTTGAGTTCAAGTCCAACCAAGTTAGAGGTGCTTGTGAACACCTAAAGCTTTCCAATGAAACTCCAGAACCGCCATGGCTTAGGAATAAAGACTCTATCTCAGGATTAAGGGATTTTTCCTAGGACTAAGAGCAAAACCAGAGATTCTCTCTGATAAAGCCTACAAGTTAGCCTCTAAAAGAGCAAGATGACCCATCAATAATTTAACTGTTCTAGAATAAAACTCAATACTCTTCAGGAGATGCTAACAGAATTTAAAGTCTTTTCAACATATTACCTCCTTTGTCCAGTGTGCAACAAAAAATTACTAGACATGAAGACACAGGAAAATGTGACGCATATTGAAGAGAAAAATCAGCCAACAGAAATAGATCCACAGCCAACCTAGATGTTAGAATTAGCAAAGGAGTTTAAAATATCTATGATTAATATGTTAAATAATCTACTGAAATTGATATCATGGGTGATAAGATGGAGAATTTTAGGAGAGATATATACATTGTAAAAAAGAATCAAATGGAAATCCTGGAAGTGAAAATGATAATACTGGAAATAAAAAATTATCAGATGAAATTAATATCAGATTGGACGCAACAGAAGAAGTAAACAATCAACTTGTACGTAGGCCAATGGAATAATTTAAATTAAAGTACAGAGACAGCCTGTAGTCCTAGCACTTTGGGAGGCCAAGGTGGGAGGACAGCTTGAGACCAGGACTTTGGGGCCAACCTGAGCAACATAACAAGACCCATCTCTACTTTAAAATGAAAAAACAAAAACCAAACAAAAAACCAAGCCAGGTGTGGTGGTGGGCACCTGTAGTCCCAGCTACTCAGGAGGCTGAGGTGGGAGGATTGCTTGAGCCTAGGAGCTCAAGACTGCAGTGAGCTGTGATCACGCCATTGCACTCCAGCCTGGGTGACAGAGCAAGACCCTATCTCAAAAAAGTAAAATAAAGAAATATAAAGCACAGAGAGACAAAGATTTTTTTGAAAACGAACAGAACTTCAGTGACTCCTGGGAGAAAATCAGTGGCGTTCCAGAAGGACAGACTGGAGGGCAGAAACGGAAAAAAATGTTTGAGGAAATGTTGACTTTTTTTTTTTTTCCAAATTTGATTTAAAAACAAAACAAAACAGACTTCTGGGTTCCAACCTGGCATGTAAAGAGCTTAGAAGTTGTTGGTCGGGTGCAGTGGCTCACGCCTGTAATCCTAGCACTTTGGGAGGCCGAGGCAGGTGGATCATCTGAGGTCAGGAGTTTGAGACCAGCCTAACCAATATGGTGAAATCCCGTCTCTACTAAAAATATGAAAATTAGCCAGGTGTGGTGGCAGGTGCCTGTAATCCCAGCTCCTCTGGAGGCTGAGGCAGGAGAATCGCTTGAACCCGGGAGGCAGGGGTTGCAGTGAGCCGAGATCATACCATTGCACTCCAGCCTGGGGGACAAGGGCGAGAGTCATCTCAAAAAAAGAAAGACCTTCGAAGTTGTCATTCCATCTTAATAACAAGTAGAAAGTTGAAAAAACTGAAAAATCAATGGCTCTTCTTAGATCTGTTGGAGAAATGAGGCCACAGGCAAACCACTGCCCCCAAAGCTGGAGAGGCAAATCCAGACTATCACAGCTTACTAAAGCAGAAACCCACAAGCACAAACCTCCAGAGGAACCAGGGCCAGGAGAAGAAAACCTAAACTGTAATTGATGAACTTCTAGAGGCTCCGTGTAGACAGGTCTTAGGGTTAAAAACTCCAGGGGGATCCAGTCATAGGCCCACATCCCTCCTTTGGTGAGTTTTACCCCAAGGAGCTCTACAAGGCCCTCACAGTGAATATCAGAGAAGAATGCCTTGTCCTTCCAGCAGGGGGAGGAGATGAGGCACCATTTTGAAATAGACCAAAGCATTCTCTTCTGAACAAAGCCTACCTCAGGAGAAACTACTTTACCAGATCCTAACCTGTTGGGATGATCGGACCCAACACCAGCTCATGGGGGCAATAAAGTCCTGCAGAGTCAAAGGAATGGGAAGACAGTTTGAGAGAGAAAGTGGGTCCAGGGGGCCAACACAAGTATGGAGGCTGTGAAGGCCCTGAGCTCTGGGAGCCCACGCTATTTATTGGTGATCAAACAAAGAAACAGGTGGTGAGGATGCAGGGGTTGAGAGAAAGCAATGCATCAAGCACATGATTTACAGCTGTGACAGTTTAGCATTTTCTTTGAAGCATATGGAACATGTTCTGCTACTTAAGGTAATGGGAGTGCTAGAAGCAAGAAGCCAGCAAGTCTAGACACATTCCAGAGGCCACGAGGGGTTTTATCCCCTGAGCCCTGGATTCCATCCAAGTCACGAGGGGTTTTATGCCCTGGGCTTAGACTATGGTGTGGCAGGGTAGCTTTTCACCCTTTAGCACGGAGTTTGGTGTTCCAAAGGCCACAAGGGGTTCTTGACCCTGGACCCCAGACATGTTCCAAGGCTCTTTTATGTTATGTCAGACATGCAAGCCCTGCCTCAGCTTCTCTCCGAAAACTCAGCTTTCCTCCCAACACTAACCACCCTGGAGGAGGTGAAATGCCCACTTCCAGCTCCCTCTAGTTTCCATGTGAAGGAAGGGAAATATCCAACTCTAACCCCCTCTAGACAATCTGTCCCACCTAAGAGGAAAAACAACCCCCAAACAAAAACAAAACAAAACAAAACAACAACTGAGACACACTGGTGAAGTTCACAGTCCAAGGGCACAAGCTCATCTAAAGACTGAGATCTAGGCTGGGCACAGTGGCTCATACCTACGGTCCTAGCACCTTGGGAGGCCAAGGTGGGTGGACTGCCTGAGCTCAGGAGTTCAAGACCAGCCTGGCCAACATGGTGAAACCTCAACTCTACTAATATACAAAAAAATTAGCCGGGTGTGGTGGTGGGCACCTGTAGTCCCAGCTGCTTGGGAGGTTGATGCATGAGAATCACTTGAACCCAGGAGGCGGAGGTTGCAGTGAGCCAAGATTGAGCCACTGCACTCCAGTGCCTGGGAGACAGAGTGAGACTCTGTCTCAAAAAAAAAAAAAAAGACTGAGATCTAATCATAGGACTCCAGAACACTTCCCTTCCCCCATACCTTCTCACTACATTACTAAAGGCCTATCTACTGCAGTTCTTTTGAACAGTACATTATGTCTACCTTCCAGTGAAAAATTACAAGGCACACTAAAAGGCAAAAACACAGTTTGAAGAGATTCAACAAACATCAGAACCAGCATCAGATATGACAGAAATGTTCAGATTATCAGGCCAGGAATTTTAAAAATTTGCGATTAACATGCTAAGGGAATTAATGGAAAAAGTAGACAACCTACAAGAAGAGATGGAGTATAAGCAGAAAGATGGAAATCTTAAGAAGGGCCTGGGTGTGGTGGCTCATGCCTGTAATCCCAACACTTTGGGAGGCTGAGGTGGGTAGACTGCTTAAACTCAGGAGTTTGAGACCAGCCTGGTAAAACCCTGCCTCTACATTAAAAAAAATAAAAATAAAAAAGAGAAAAAAAAAGATATTCTAAGAAATAATTAAAAATAAGTGGTATAGATAAAAAGCACTGTAACAGAAATAAAGAATGCCTTTGACGGGCTTATTCGTGGACTGGACATGGCTGAGGAAAGAATCTCTAAGCTTGATGATATGACAATGGAAACTTTCAAAACTTAAATGCAAAGAGAAAAAAGGCTGAAATAATAGAACAGAATATCCAAGAACTGTGGGACAACTACAAAAGATGTAAATATGCATAATGGAATGCCAGAAGGAGAAAAGAGAAAGAAACACAAGCAATATATAAAGTAATAATGACAGAATTCTCCCCCCAAAAAATGTCAGACACCAAAACCACAGATCTAGGAAGATTAAGGAACACCATATAGGATAAATGCCACAAAATGACACATACGCATATTATATCCAAACTTCAGAAAATCAGGCTGGGTGCAGTGGCTCACACCTGTAATCCCAGCACTTTGGGAGACCAAGGCAAGAGAATCACTAGAGGCCAGAAAGACCAGCCTGGGCAACATAGTGAGACCTTGCTTCTAAAATTTAAAAAAAAAAAAAAAAAAGGTCGGGCGTGGTGGCTCATGCCTGTAATCCCAGCACTTTGGGAGGCTGAGGCGGGCAGATCACCTGAGGTCAGGAGTTTGAGACCAGGCTGGCTAACATGGTGAAATGCTCTCTCTACTAAAAATACAAAAAATTAGCCGGGCGTGGTGGCAGGTGCCTGTAATCCCAGCTACTTGGGAGGCTGAGGCAGGAGAATTGCTTGAACCCAGGAAGCGGAGGTTGCAGTGAGCCAAGATCACGCCATTGCACTCCAGCCTGGGGGACAAGAGTGAGACTTTGTCTCAAAAAAAAAAAAAAAAAATTAGCCAGGTGTGGCACGTGCCAGTAGTCCCAGCTACTCGAGAGGTGGAGGCGGGAGGATCCCTTGAACTCAGAAGGCTGGGTGACAGAGTGAGACCCTGTCTCAATAACAATAATAGTTTTTTAAAAAACTTCAGAGAATCAAAGATAAAAAATACTGAAGAGAAAACAGAAGGAAAAAATATCTTTCTTGCAGAAGAGCAACAATAAGAATTACATCCAACTGTGCAGAAACCATGCAAGCAAGAGAGTGGAGAGTAATACACAAAGCATTGAGAAGACAAAAACACATCAACCTAGAAATCTTTACCCTGAAAAATTATTCTTCATAAACGAAAGGGAAATGAAGACTCTCAGACAAACAAAAACTGAGGGAATTTTTGTCACTAGATCTGCCTTGTAGGAAACATTAAAAGAAGTTCTTCAGCAGAGTGCTTATTTTATTTTATGGAATGAAGTGTTGCCCAATTCTAGAATCACAAATAAAGCCAACTGGGAAAAAATAAAAGGAGTTCTTCAGAGAGGACAAAAATTATATGTCAGAAACTCAGATTTTACATAAAGAAAGGAGGAGCAAGGCCGGGCATAGGGGCTCACGCCTGTAACCCCAGCACTCTGGGAGGCTGAGCTGGGTGGATCACCTGAGGTCGGGAGTTCGAGACCAGTCTGGCCAACATGGTGAAACCCTGTCTCTAATAAAAATACAAAAATTAGCCAGGCAGGGTGGCGGGTGCCTGTAGTCCCAGCTATTCGAGAGGCTCAGGCAAGAGAATTGCTTGAACCTGGGAGGCAGAGATTGCAGTAGCAGAGATTGCACCACTGCACTACAGCCTGGGTGAGACAGCAAGACTCCATCTCAAAAGAAAATAAATAAATAAATAAAGCCAAAAAAAAAAAAAAAAAAAAAAAAAGAAAAAAAAAAAAGAAAAAGTGTGGCAGACAAAAATAGGAACAAAGAACAAGGACAACAAATAGAAAATAGTAGCCGGGCATGGTGGCTCACACCTGTAATTCCAGCACTTTGAGACGCCAAGGCTGGTGGATCACAAGGTTAGGAGTTAAACACCAGTCTGGTCAAGACGGTGAAACCCCATCTCTACTAAAAACACAAAAATTAGCCGGGTGTAGTGGCAGGCACTTGTAGTCCCAGCTACTCAGGAGGCTGACGCAGAAGAATTGCTTGAACTCGGGAGGCGGAGTTTGCAGTGAGCCGAGATCAAGCCACTGGACTCCAGCCTGGGTGACAGAGCAAGACTCTGCCTCAAAAAATAAAAAAGATAAAAGCAAATAGTAATACGATAGCTATTAACCCAACTATATAAATAATCACTTCATTTATTTAGTTATTTTTTATTTTACTGATTGATTTATTTTTTTGAGATGGAGCCTCACTCTGTCGCTCAGGCTGGAGTGCAGTGGCGGGATCTCGGCTCACTGCAACCTCCATCTCCCAGGTTCAAGCGATTTTCCCGTCTCAGCCTCCTGAGTAGCTGGGATTACAGGAGTGCACCACCATACCTGGCTAATTTTTGTGTTTTTAGCAGAGACGGGGTTTCATCATGTTGGCCAGGCTGGTCCCGGACTCCTGACCTCAGGTGATCCACCTGCCTCCGCCTCCCAAAGTGCTGGGATTACAGATGTGAGCCAGTATGCACAGACTATTTAGTTATTTTTTAGAGGCAAGGTCTGGTTCTGTCATTCAGGCTGAAATGCAGTAAAGCAATGATAACTGTCACCTTCAACTCCTGGGCTCAAGCAATCCTCCCAGCTCAGCCTCTCAGGTAGCTGAATCTACAGATGCACACTACCACATCCAGCCAGTTTTAAAATTTGTTTTATAGAAACAGGGTCTCATTTTATTGCCCACTCTGGTCTCAAACTCCTGATTTCAAGTGATCCTCCTGCCTTGCCTCCTGAAGTGCTGGAATTTACAAGTGTGGGCCACTATGCTGGGCCTCAATAATCACTTTAAATGTCAATGGCCTAAATACAGCAATTAAAAGATGAGGATTGTTAGAATGGACCAAAAAACAAGACCCAACTATATGTTGTCTACAAGAAACTGACTTTAAATATAACCACAAAACAGGTTAAATGTAAAGGAATGGAAGTTAACTGGGCATGGTGGTACATGCCTGTGGTCCCAGCTACTCAGGAGGCTGAGGTGTGAGGATTGCCTGAGCCAGGGAAGTTGAGGCTACAGTGAGTGATGATTGCACCACTGCACTCCAACCTAGGTGACAGAGAAAGACCCTGTATCAAAAAAAAAAAAAAAAAAAAAAAAAAAAAAGGAAAGGGATGGAGAAAGATATAGCATGCTAACTCTAATCAAAAGAAAGCAAGAATAGCTTTAATTCTAGAAAGAGAATTAATTTTAGAAAGAGAAGATTTTAAGTCAGGCACGATGGCGCACACCTGTAGTCCCAGATACTTGGGATGCTGAGGCAGGAGGATCACTTAAGGCACTTCATTCACTATGTGCCCAGGAGTTTGAGTCCAGCCTGGGCACACAGGGAAACCCTGTTTCTATAAAAGAAAAAAGGAATAAAAAAGTACTCAATCCAAAAGAAGACAAGAAAAGAGAAGGGAAAAAAGAAACACAAAACAGAAGGAGTAAATAGAACATAAACAGCAAGATGGTTAACTTAAACAGAACCATATCAATTAATTAATCAATTATACATATCATTAAATATAAATTAACTAAGCAGTCAAACTGTTTTTAAACAGCAAGACCCAAGTCATATGATGCATTTCTTTTTTTCTGAGACAAACTCTCACTCTTATTGCTCAGGCTGGAGTGCAATGGCACAATCTCAGCTCACTGCAACCTCTGCCTCCCAGGTTCAAGTGATTCTCCTGCCTCAGCCTCCTGAGTAGCTGGGATTACAGGTGCCTACCACCATACCAGGCTAATTTTTGTATATTTAGTAGAGATGGGGTTTTACCATGTTGACCAGGCTGGTCTTGAACTTCTGACCTCAGGTGATCCACCCGCCTCGGCCTCCCAAATTGCTGGGATTATAGGTGTGAGCCACAGTGCCTGGCCTACACTTTCTTACATTTAAGAAAATTTATATACATATTTTGGACACAGGGTTTTGTCATGTTGCCCAGGCTGGTCTTGAACTCCTGAGCTCAAGCGATTCACCTGCCTTGGCCTCCCAAAGTGCTGGGATTACAGGTGTGAGTCACCACACCCGGCCATGATGCACTTTAAATATAAAGTTACAGGTTGAAAGAAAAAGGATAAAAAAAGATATAACATGCAAATGCCAAGCATAAGAAAGCTGGTGTGTTATTAAAAGCACACAAAGAAGATTCAAGACAAGTATTATCAGAGATAAAGATATTAATTTCATAAAGGTAAAATGACCAAGGAGACATTAAAAAACTAAATGTGAATGCACCTAATAACAAAGACCCAAAATACATAAAAATTGACCATATTAAAGAGAGAAATGAACAGATCTACAATCAGAATTGGAGAGATAGAGTGTAAATGAAATACAGAGTCAAAGAGACAGACATGCAGAGGGAAAGAGAGAGATACAAGAAACAGAAAGCCAGAGTGAGAGAGACAGAGGCAGCCTGATCCAAAGAGGACAATGAGTCTCAGAGACAGGGAGCATCTGAGAATAAATGACAAAACAGGGAGGATCAGAAGCTCTGGTTGCAGGGGATGGAGTCAGAGGAAGAATCTGGGACTATGGGATCCTGCAGGGATGATTGCAGGACAGACAGCAACACTTACCTGCTGCCCAGCAGAGCCTTGGGGGCCAGGCTCCCCACGCAGTCCCTGTGTAGGAGGAGACAAATGGTGTCAGCTGTTGAGGGCTCTGATCTGGGGCCCTCAGGACTCCCCAGAATTCCCCCACCTGGGGCCACCTGAGTACTCACTCTCTCGCCTTTCTCTCCTGGGTGGCCAGAGATTCCTTTGGGTCCAGTTGGGCCTGGGGGTCCCTGAGCAACAAGACAGGGCCTCAGCCTTGTGTTGAGGCAGGATGGAGCAGGCAGGGGCTTGGGAACAGAGGTGTTGAGGGGAGGGTGCTCTAGCTTGGTCTGGGCCTCTGGGTTCTTCACCATACACCAAGCACACAGCAATCAGTTCATACAGCTCAGTGTTAAAAGATCTGATCCTAGAGTCAGATAGTCCCACCACAACTCACGGAAGTTGCCATGTGCTGGCCACAGCCCTAGGGCAAGAATCCCCACTTTTCTTGGTTTTAGGTGATAACAATACATGGTTTTCATTACTTGGATTGAATAAGATTTATGGAAGGTAGTTTACATATTAAGTGCTCAATAAATACTTATTGAATGAATGAATGGAAGGATGAATGGATGGATGGATAGATGGATACAAGGGTGGATGATGGACAGATGTATGGATAGATGGAAAGATGGACAGACACATGGGTGAGAGTACAAGGAGAACTACTCACTATGTGTCCAGGACTCCCAGGGACACCTGTGGGGCCAGGAGGCCCAGGGGGACCTGGAAAAAGACAGGATGTCCTAAGGGCCAGAACAAAGTACAATCTCAGGAAGTGCCCCATCAGCTCCCTCCTGACAGCCCCAAACCCTATTCCCTCTGCCATCTATCAACTCCACCCCTTACCTCAGGCCTGGACTCAACCTACCCATGGGCCCTGGAGGGCCTGGAGGCCCAGTGGGTCCCCGGGGCCAGTGGTTGTTGGTCTCAGTGAAGGTGTTGGACAGCAGTGGGTCTCCTGGGTGAGAAAAGATGATGAGTGAGTAGAGCTGGGTAGAGTGGGGTGGTTAGTCTTCACCTGCCACCTCTGCCAAGACAGCTTGGACTGCCCATGGGGCAGCTTGCAGCATGGCTGGTACCACCTGGGCACCTGCTCCCAGGGTGAGGAGTGTGGAGAGTGTTGGTCTCGCAAGACCAGGAAGCAGGGAGATGTGGGTTCTAACCCCACTGCAACCTAGCTGGTGACATCCAGCAACACTCTCCACTTTTCAGAGCCTGTACTGTCACCTGCCAAATGGGAATGACAATAAAAGAAACTATTTATCCACCACCTACTGTGTGCCAGGCTTCTGTACATGGGTGTTACACAGCTCTGGGAGGCTGGCACTGTCATTGTCCCCATTGTATGGATAGTGAGATGGAATGAATGCTGGGATGGCAGAATGAATGACTGGTGTGCACCAAAGACACGATGGAAAAGAGGCTGAAATCTGGCGCTCCACACTCTGACCCCTGGCAGTCCACGGGCAGGTCAGGCTGGGCTGCCAAAGGGAAGAAGCCAAGGACGTGCATCAGGGCCTGGAGGAGGGGCCAGGCCTGTGGCCTTGGGAGCTCAGAGCTCGCTTCCTGCTGCCAGGTCTTTTGCTTCCCAGTGCTCTAAGAACTGGATTCCAAGGCTCGGGACGGCCTGATGCCTGGTGGCTCTAAGCACAGGTTCTGGAGACAGCCCGTTTGAAGCCGTTCCCCTACGCCGGGGCTGTGGGACCCTGGCAAGCCACCTCCCCTCTCTGGTCCTCAGTGTTCCTCATCTGTAAACACAGGAGGACAACAGCGCCTGCTGGAGGACTGGGTCACACCTGGCCTACCATGAGCAGGGCTGGCACACAGAAGGCACCTGGCAGATGGTAGCGGGCACTGTGCTGATGGCTACTCCACCCCCACCTCCACCTGCGGGGACTCACCATGCTGGGAGATCCGGGCGTGGGGTGGCCCAACAGGGGTTGGGGGCCCAGGGGGGCCAGGAGGCCCTGGTGGCCCAGGAGGTCCCCTCTCTCCAGGGGTGCCCACAGCTCCAGCCCGGCCAGGGCTCCCTGGGGGGCCCTGTGGACCTGCAATGGAATCACAGGGATTTGTGGGTATACAGGAGGCAGGGAGGCCTAGGGTGGCCTTAAGCGACAGGACAAGGCAGCCTGGAGCGGTGGGCATGAGAGAGGGCCCCACAGTCCATAGACCTAGGCTCCCTGGTTGTCTAACAGGGGGATGAGCACAGCGCCCAGTCCTCCACCTCATCCAGGCTGGGTCTTCCTTCCTTGGGGCTCCCAAACCCCCAAAGTCCCTCATAGAAACCCTGGTCACATGGGGCAAGCATTGCTGCTTCTCCTCTGCCCAGCCCTGCTCCCAGCAGTCTGGAAGCTCCAGAAGGGCAGGGACATGTCTGACCCCACCCAGTGCCCAGCCCAGAGCCTGCTAAGTGTAGGTGCCCAGGGAATGTGAGTCGAGTGAACGTAAGAGAGGATTTCATGGAGCCCAGGTGTGAGCGGGGCACTCCCTGGCGGGGTGTTGAGTGAAGAGGCAAGCAGATGAAAGGGCCCAGGCCATCCTGGCCATGTCAGGAGCGGGGAAGGGCCCACCTGGTGGGGGGGTGGCCAGAGGAGCTTGGAGCAACGTTGCGGGCACTCACCTGGTGGGCCTCTCATCCCCATTGGGCCCCGGCTGCCGGCATCTCCCTTGGGGCCGGTGGGCCCGGGCAGCCCCCGAGCACCGACTTGGTCTGGGGGGTAAAGCATATCAGACTGGCAGCTCCAGATCTGCTCTTGACCCCCACCCTGGCCCCAGCCCCCCTACCAGCACCTACCATTTCGGGGAAGCAGCGGGACCCTCACACTCTCTATGGCTCCTGGCAGCCCTGGGGTAGGGGGGTAGGCAGAGGTCAGTGTCCCCGCTGGGCCTGGAGGAGGGAGGCTCATCCAGAATCCCCACTCCCAGCTCCCCCCGACCTCCAGGCAGGGTCTGCTGGGGCTGCTTGGTCTCCAGGGACTGCAGGTTTCAGGAGTCCCAGGAGACGGTCCTCTTAGGCGGGTCTAAGAAACGGGAAATGGGAAGACTGAGGCCCACTAGAGGGTTAAGTTGGGAGTCAGTGACAGGGTGGGGACCAGAATCCCACTTCCCCAATTCCCAACCCACTGCTCATTCCCACAGGCAAGTCTGAGTCTGCCACTCACCCGGGAGGCCTCCATCTCCGGGGCTGCCCTGGGCAGGAGGAGGGCCCCAGAGTGGGGCAGGGTCCTCAGGGGTAGCTGGTGTTGGAGGCGCTGGCTGCTCTATGACAGTCAGCATGGCCACCTGAAGACGAAGACAGGGACAGGGTGGGTACTAGGGTCTCACTAGGACCCCTCCCTATTTTTTTTTGAGATGGAGTTTTGCTCTGTTGCCCAGGCTAGAATGCAGTGGTACCATCACAGCTCATGCAGCCTCAACCACCTGGGCTTAAGCGATCCTTCTGCCTCAGCCTTCTAAGTAGCTGGGACCACAGGGACGCACCACCACACATGGCAAATTAAAAAAAAAAAAATTATTTGTAGAGACAAGGTCTCGCTATGTTGCCCAGGCTGGTCTTGAACTCCTGGGCTCAAGCGATCATCTTGCCTCAGCCTCCCAAAGTGTTGGGATTACAGGCATGAGGCAAGGTCTCACTAGGGACAGGCCAGCCAAGGGGCCTGGTGTGGGAGGCAGGAGGCACATAGCCAGCAGGGCCCAGCTTGGAGTGGAGCCCCAGGCTTGCAGGGGCACAGAGCTTCATTAGAAGTGACAGTGTTTTTCAAAGCACACGATTCATAACACGCATTATGGAAAAGTCATTGACACCATCATTGCCATCCAAGTTGAGCTTTGTGACTGTCATGGTGCTTGCTGGGCCATGCACTTTTTTTCTATGCTTATCTACAAATAAGAAGCTTTTCTTGATTTGTTAAAGCACCACAGGGTATGACTGGAAGAGTTTCATTAATATTTTTTTTTTCCAAGATGGAGAGTCGTGCTCTGTTGCCCAGGCTAGAGTGCAGTGGCGCGATCTCGGCTCACTGCAACCTCCGCCTCCCGGGTTCAAGTGATTCTCCTTCCTCAGCCTCCCAAGTAGCTGGGATTACAGTCGTGCGCCACCATACCTGGCTAATTTTTGTATTTTTAGTAGAGATGGGGTTTTACCATGTTGGCCAGGCTGGTCTCAAACTCCTGACCTGAAGTGATCTGCTTATCTCGGCCTCCCAAAGTGTTGGGATTACAGGCATGAGCCACCATTCCTGGCCTTTCACTAAATTTGGAAGGAAGTTTGGAAGAGTCGACATGAAATAGAAACCTGGAGGTGTACACAAAGTCCACTTTTGGGTCCACAGTGAGGAAGACTCTGGGAAGCTAGAGGTGTCCCCTCAGCTGCTGAGGACCAAAGAGAGGCCAGATGACCATAGACCAGGGGCTTGGGGATCGTGGGGGCCTGTCCAGAGAAAAGCTGAAACTCTCCGGCAGACCCTGAACCAGGAATTCCCATCACAGATGTGGGACTGAGTTGCCTCTTACGTGGGCTTCTCCTGGGAGAGAGCTCAGGGAACTGCTCCTGGAACCCCGTGCCTTGTAACTCAGGGGCCAGCACATGCTATTTGGAAGGTTGGTTTTCCCACTGGATAAATCAGGGGCATCTTCTTTTTTTTAATTTTAGAGACAGGGTCTAGCTCTGCCGTCCAGGCTAGAGTGCAGTGGTGCTATCACGGCTCACTGCAGCCTTGCCCGCCTGAGCTCAAGTGATCCTCCTGCCTCAGCCTCTTGAGCAGCTGGGATTGTGTGCCAGCTGTGTGCCACTAAGCCCAGCTAATTTTTTGTAGAGATGGAACCTTGCTATGATGCCCAGGCTGGTCTCGGGCTCCAGGCCTCAAGTAATTCTCCTGCCTTGGCCTTCCAAAGTGCTGGGATTACAGGTGTGAGCCACCAAGCCCAGGGTGGAGTGCAGTGGTGCAATCTCAGCTCACTGCAACCTCTGCCTCCTGGGTTCAAGCAATTCTCTGCCTCAGCCTCCCATGTAGCTGGGATTAGAGATACCCGCCCCCCCGACCGGCTTTTTTTTTTTTTTTTTTTTTCTTGAGATAGAGTTTCGTTCTTGTTGCCCAGGCGGGAGTGCAATGGCACGATCTAAGCTCACTGCAACCTCTGCCTCCTGGGTTCAAGCAATTCTCCTGCCTCAGTCTCCTGAGTAGCTGGGATTACAGGCATGCGCCACCATGCCCAGCTAATTTTTGTATTTTTCGTAGAGACAGGGTTTCTCCATGTTGGTCAGGCTGGTCTCGAACTCCTGACCTCAGGTGATCCATCCCCCTCAGCCTCCCAAAGTGCTGGGATTACAGGCATGAGCCACCTCACCTGGCCCCGGTTAATTTTTTGTATTTTTAGTAAAGCCAAGGTTTCACCATCTTAGCCAGGCTGGTCTTGAACTCCTGACCTTGTGATCCTCCCAAATGCTGAGATTACAGGGCTGAGCCACTGCGCCCAGCCTAATTTTTTTTTTTCTTTTTTTTGAGACAGAGTCTCGTTCTGTTGCCCAGGCTGGAATACAGTGGCATGATCTTGGCTCACTACAACCTCCGCCTCCCAGGTTCAAGTGATCCTCATGCCTCCGCCTCCTTTGTAGCCGGGATTATGGGCGTGTGCCACCATGCCAGGCTAATTTTTGTATTTTTAAAAGAGACAGGGTTACGCCATGTTGGCCAGGCTGGTCTCGAACTCTTGGCCTCAAGCAATCCACCTGCCTCAGCCTCCCAAAGTGTGGAGATTACAGGTGTGAGCCACTGCACCAAGCTGTACTTTTTAATTAAAAAAAAAAAAAGTTTTATGGCAGTGCAGTGGCTCACACCTGTAATCCCAGTAATCCCAGCACCTTGGGAGGCCAAGACAGCGAATTGCTTGAGCTTAGAAGTTCAAGACCAGCCTGGGCAACTTGGAGAAACCCCATCTCTACCAAAAATTTAAAAATTAGCTGGATGTGGTGTTGTTCACCTATGGTCCCAGCTACTCAGGAGGCTGAGGTGGGAGGATTGCTTGAGCCCAGGAGGCATAGGTTGCAGTGAGCTGAGATCTCGCCACTGCACTCCAGCCTGGGAAACACAGGAAGACCCTGTTTCAAACAAAACCAGACGAAACAAAGAATACAAAACATTTTATCTTGAAATAATTTGAGATGCGTGATAGATGTTTTGTTTTTGAAACCAGGAAGATTGTATTATGGATGGGGACTGGGGGGATAGAGAAAGGGTATGGGGCAGGGGCAGCCAGGAGATCCTACCAGGATCTCTGGGCAGTGTCTTTGCTGATCTGGCTGGGATGGTAATGGAGCCCCATGGGAGGGAGCTCACAGGCCTCCTGGAGGAAGAACAGGCCAGGCTGGCTGTGACTTGCACTTCACATATACAGTCTTCACTGAGTGGATGCTAGTGTCCCCTCCGCTTTACAGAAGGAGAAACTGAGGCACAACCTGTGAGCAGGCTTCCAAGGGAGGGACACTAGAGGAAACCAGGACATGCCTGACAGGGGATGCTGCTCGCTAAGTCAGCTCAGAGCTGCCCTGTGGGTTCGCTGAGGGTGCAAGCATGGGGTGTGGGGAAGGAGGAGGGGAGGGTGGGATGGTGGTTGCCCGGACTGGCCTGGGGCAGGGGGCAACCACCCAGGAGAGAGCTGCTCACCCACCTTGGCCTCCAGCATCTTCAGCCGCTCTGTCAGCTCTGATACTTTACTGCAGTTGAGACAACCTGCGGGGAGGAAGGAAGCTAGGGCCAGGGCCGAGGGTCCTAGGCTCCCCCGCAGAGCCCTTCAGTCTCTGGGAGGTGGGATGCAGGGAAGGATCAGATATCTGATGACTCCAACCCATGAGGGAGCCTTAGGCTGGGGAGGGGCTACAGGATCATGGTGGATCCAGGGGGACCTCACCCTATGAGTTCTTTTTGGTGTTGGAGCCTCCAAAGTGGCCTGCTTCTCCTGCAGCAGGACCAGGAACCCGACCCCTGGCAGCCTCTGTGTCCAAAATGACCCCTTTCCCAGAAGCCAAGGAAATGGCAATGAGGTGGGGGCCATGGATGAGGCTGAGGGCTTCCCCAACGACCCCAACTAGGCTCATGGGCTAAGAGTTTAGAGCTCAGACAAGCCTGGGTCTGAGCCTTGACACTGTCCTGCGTGACTTGTCCTCTCTGGAAAGATCCTGTTGCTTCCCGCCTGGGCAGGGCTGGGGCCAGGGCTTGCCAGCTTTGGGGACCTACCCAGCGCAGTCTGGACTGGGCTGGCCTCAAAGGTGCCATCCTCTGAGCCTCCCCCGACCCACCATCCAGCACCCCCAGGTCTCCTGGGTGAGACTCTCGAGAATGACGTGAGTCATTCACAGCAGCTCTGGACATTTACGGAGCCTCCCAGCTGCTGGCCCTGCCGAGTGCTGTGCCAGCAGTCTCTCCCCTCCTCACAGGAGTGTCACCCCCATTCACACCTGAGGACACGGCTCAGAGCAGGGAGGGGTGAGTGCCTAACTAGCACATCTGGGGTCTAGTCCTGGTGCGGCCCCGACTCCCAGCTGTGGGGCCTGGAGCAGGGCAGGGCAGGGAGGTCAGAGACCTTCAGCTTCCTCCTCTTTAAAAAGGGGACAATGGGAGGGCAGTGGACAGCAGTGAGGTCTAAATGAGCTGCTGATGGGAAGTGCCTGGCACAGGGCCTTGCACACTGCTGACATTCAGAAAAGTGCTGATTACATAAAAAGAGGAAACAGGGGGATTGAACTGGCGTCTGCAAGAGTCCAGGGGTCATGGGTCCAGGTGTCTGGACCCAGGTCAGATGCCCCTCTGGGGTCCTTTCTGTGCCCCTCAAAGCAACTTTTGTAGCCTGGGGAGCGCGGGGTGGGGAGACGGTTACTGTCCTTGACCCTCCACTGCCAGACCTGCTGGCTTTTAGGACAGTTACTAAACTGCCCTGAGCCCGCTCCAGAGCTCCCTCAGCCCAGGGGACCCCAAGAAGCTACCCCAGGACCCACCTGAGACGGCTGTGGGCCGAAGTGCCATCCGCCGCATGGTATTGCCCGACCACATGGGCTCCAAGGAGCCAGAGGAACCTGCAACTAAGGGATGGAGGGTGAGAGCCCTGCTGGGGTATGATCCTTGCCTCCTCAGGTCCCCCTGCCCACCACTGCAGCCCCAGCAGGGATCCCTACTCCCCTCAGCACAGGACACAGAGGCCCAGAGGAGGACAGTCCATGTATCTGGGTCACACAGCATGAATTGGGCTGAGCTAGAGCAAGGCTGGCCACCTGATAGGGCTGGGAAGAGGGGCTGGCAATGGGGCGAGGGCCATGGATGAGGCTGAGGACTTCCCCAACAACCCCAACCCCAGCCAGCCTGATGGGCTAAGAGTTTAGAGCTCAGACAAGCCTGGGTCCGAGCCCTGACACTTACTGTCCTCCATGACTTGTCCTCTCTGGACTTATTTTCCCATCTGTAAAATGGGATTCTAAGGCCTCTAAACTTCCCAGGCTGAGGTGAGGCCTGAGGTCAGCCATGAATGCAAAGGGCCCACTGTGCACACACAGCGACCGGCACACACAGTAGGTGCTCAATAAACGGCCGCCGTGACTGTTGCCATCCACACTTTCACTGCCTGGCTTGGTTAAGAGGAGACTGAAGCGGATCCAGCCCTGGTTTTAAATGAAAACCAGAGGGAGGCTGGCTGTCTGGGAGGGCAAGGGGAGCCAGTTCCAGGGCCAACCCCTGCTGCCACCCCTCCCAAGGAGGACCCCCCCGTACCCGCCCCAGCCATCCTGGCTGGTCTGGCTTTGGGGGACTGGTTTTCTCCACAGCTGGAGGGATGGACTGGCCAAACCAGGGGCGGGGGCACAGCTGGAGAGGCTGTGGAGCCAGCACTGGCAACTGCCCCCCTCAGCCCCCCAGGCGTTCCTTTTAAGGCCACGAAATGTTGTCTGGGGGGAGACAAGACCCAAATAAGGCATGGGCCTGGCAGCTCGGAGCAGGGCTGTGGGTTGATGCAGGGAGCGAGAGGCGCCGGGAACTCAAACCAGACGAGTCCCTCTGGCCAGCCCCCAGTGGAGGCTGCCAGGCCCTGCTCTGGGTCCCACTGTGGGGCCTCCACTCGTGCTGAGCCTGCATCCCCAGCACACCCTCCTCAAGGGCCTGTGACTTGCCCAGGCACAGGGGGCTAATCTCACCCAGGATGGAGGAAGATGGGTTGCCAGCCCAGGACTGGGGCCGGCACTGGGGACTCCCTGGGGAGGGGAGACATCACTGTGAACCATGCCCATGTGAAGGACCTTGTATAGCTTGGCTCAATCCTACAAGGAAGGTGATAATCAGAACAGACAACTCTTGCTTAGCATGTACCCTGGGCCTAGCACCTTCTAAGCACTTCACATACATAGTCTTAACTGTGAGTGGGTGCTAGTACCACCTCCACTTTCCAGGTGGGGAAACTGAGGCACAGGGCAGCTCTGTGCTACCTCTTCTCTGTTGCCCATGCTCAGATAAAGGTGGATGAGTAAATGACACTCAACTCCACTTCCCCACTTGGAAGAAATGAGGCAGAGAAGAGAGGCGACTCGCCATCGGTTGTCTGCGGGACGGTCCCAAGCCTGGATTTGAACACAGGTCGGCCTGATTCCAGGGCCAGATTTCTTTCTTTGGTTAGTGGAGGTGCAGGGGCACCCGGCAGAGAGGCTCAATGTTCAGAAGGAGTGCTGGTGCCTGAGAAAAACGGCCTCACCAAGCGCTCTTCATTCTTTCTGCTTCCAGATAGAGATGTGATGTCATTTTAGTACTCTTTTCGGGAAGTTGACCAAAAGAAGCGGCCATTTCTCGCAACGTGGGGATGTTTGAGTTTCCTCTGTGATGAAGCTTCAGCTGCTCTCCCCATCCGCTTCTGCCCTCTTCTCTATTCTGCTGTTGTTTTCTTTTTTCTTTTTTTCCATTGCATTATCTACCTTCTAGCGTGTTCCAGTTTCCCAGGCCACTGCCTGTCATCTGGCCTCCTGGCTGGAACATCAGCCCCACTAGGGCAGGGACCTTGTCTGTCTTGTGCTTGGCCTACAAAAGTGCCCAGCACCCAGTAGGATCTCATGGGCTTCATGTATAAAACTTTTTTTTTTTTGTTTTAAGACGGAGTCTCACTCTGTCACCCAGGCTGGAGTACAGTGGTGCAATCTTGACTCACTACAACCTCCACCTCCCAGGTTCAAGCGATTCTCCTGCTTCAGCCTCCGGAGTAGCTGGGACAACAGGAGCGTGCCACCATGCCCAGCTAATTTTTGGTATTTTTAGTAGAGACGGAATTTCACCATATTAGCCAGGATGGTCTCCATCTCCTGACCTAGTGATCCACCTGCCTCGGCCTCCCAAAGTGCTGGGATTATAGGTGTGAGCCACCGAGACCGGCCATTTATAAAACTTTTGTTGATGAATACATGAATCACCAACTGAAAATAAATTTCGATCAAGCAAACCAAATATAAGGCAGACATAACTGTCTTGAACGTCAACATAGGCCGGGCACAGTGGCTCACGCCTGTAATCCCAGCACTTTGGGAAGCCGAGGCAGGTGGATGACCTGAGGTCAGGAGTTCGAGACCAGCCTGGCCAACATGGCGGAACCCCGTCTCTATTAAAAATACAAAAATTAGCTGGGGGTGGTGGTATGTGCCTGTAATCCCAGCTACTTGGGAGGTTGAGGCAGGAGAATCGCTTGAACCCGGGAGCGGAGGTTGCAGTGAGCTGAAAATGCACCACTGTACTCCAGCCTGGGTGACAAAGTAAGACTCCTCAAAAAAAAAAAAAAAAAGTCAGCATAAATGGGCCAGGTGCAGGGGCTCACACCTGTAATCCCAGCACTTTGGGAGGCTGAAGTGGGCAGATTGCTTGAGCCCAGGAGTTTGAGACCAGCCTGGGTAATATGGCAAAACCCTGTCTCTACAAAAAATTTAAAAATTAGCTGGGTATGGTGGCGCATGCCTGTAGTCCCAGCTACTTGGGAGACTGATACGGGAGGATAGCTTGAACTTGGAAGGTCAAGGTTGCAGTGAGCTGTGATCGTACCACACTGAAAGAGTGAGACCCTATCTAAAAAAAAAATAAAATCAGCATAAATGTTTTAATGTCATATTAGAGTGTCCCTGAGTTATTAATCTGTAAACTAGTGGTTGGAAATTCTTTTTCAATCAGTTTGTTTTCGATGTTTCTCCAGGGGCCAGAAAGAATGAGAAAAACAAATAAAAATGTGGTCTGACAGCAGCACAGACATCAAATGCTCAAAGTAATTGCAAATTTAAATTAAAAAAAGAAAAGAGTTTAAAGAAATAACAAAACTGTTCAAAAGACCAGAAAATTTTGGGTTTGGATTCAAGATTCACAAAAAGTTATCCAAAAACTCCCCCAAAATTCTGAGAAACGGACAGAAACATTTTAAGGGATGTAGCAGGTTGTAAAATGACCCTGTAGCACACAAAATTCCAGTAAGGAAGAAGCCACAGGTTGTGGGGAGATCTGCTGTTGGACAAAAATGTCATATCCTGGCCAGGCGCGGTGGCTCATGCCTGTAATCCCAGCACTTTGAGAGGCCGAGGTGGGCAGATGAAGAGGTCAGGAGATCGAGACCCTCCTGGCTAACACAGTGAAACCCCGTCTCTACTAAAAATACAAAAAATTAGCCGGGCCTGGTGGCTGATGCCTGAAGTCCCAGCTACTCAGCAGGCTGAGGCAGGAGAATGGCGTGAACCCGGGAGGCGGAGCTTGCAGTGAGCCGAGATCGCGCCACTGCACTCCAGCCTGGGTGACAGAGTGAGACTCCTTCTAAACAAAACAAAACAAAACAAAACAAAACAAAACAAAACAAAACAAATGTCATATCCCTCCCACGGGTGTTTGGTCAAAGGCCCTGAAACAGGCCCCTGTGAGCTGAGACCCTCCTCATCTCAGCCTGGTGGTCCTTACTGAAGGGCTCCTCCCTAGCCTCAACCTTGTCCTCCCAGGGAGGCCCTGAAGGCTGGTCCCAGGACCACAAACCCCAGCTCCACTTTGGGAACCTGACTGTGGGCCACTTCCCACCATCTGGGAGGTCCTCACATGCCCTATACACATACATACACACACACACATGCACGTTCCTACCCCATGCCCTCTCCTAATCTCTAGAGCTGCTGCACCCATGTCACCTCCTCCAGGAAGCCTTCCCAAACAGGCCAGTGCGCCTACCAGTGTCAAAGCCCCCTCGAAGCTCATCACTCCCTGTCTTGACCTCCACATCTTGACCTCCACATGGTCAGCGCTGTCTGTAGTTTCTAGCCCTGGGCCCCATAAGCAGTTCTTCTTCCCTCTGCCCAGTGCCAGGCCTGAACTAAGAAGCTTTGTGTCCCTTCTCGGGACCCTCACGACACCTCACGATATAGAACACTGAGGCCCAGAGAGGAGAGGCTTCCGCTCTGTCCTTGCAGTGGGACAAGGGGGTCTGGGATTCCAATCTTGCCCTAAATTGGGGATTAGGGATGTGAAAAGTTGTGGATTAGGGGTATGAAAATCTGGGGGTGTCCCTGGGATCCACCTTCATGACTTTCTCTCCCTGGACAGAAGCCAAAGGAACGGCTTCCTCATTCACAACCGACCCCCCAGATCTGCTCTGCTCGGTTTAGCAACCACAGGCCATAGGGAGGCAGCCTTCCCAGCCCCAGCCCAGGTCTCCTGCAAGGAATTTACTTTGCAAATGTAAATATTTGCTTCTGGTGGCCAGAGCCAGGGGTTAGGGTCAGAGCTGGGGCTGGGAGCTCCAAGAACCCTCCAGCTCAATCAGGAGCCTCCGGGAAGCCTTAGTCTATGTCCGGCCTGGCCGCCTCTTCAGGACAGGCAAAGGTCCTATTCAATTCCTGTGCACTCACTTTATATGTGGCCCACGCCAGGCACTGGGGATGTGGGAGTAACGGTGGCAGGATGGGGGTCAACCTAGCCAGGTGGGAGCACCCAGAGGGCTGCAGGCAGAGCAGTGACTTGCCGGCCACTGCCAAGGCCATGTATGAGAGACAAAGCCGGTGTGGGCAGGGGGTTGAAACAGAGGGAGGGTGAGGTTCAGGGGATCCAGGCAGGGGCTGAGAGAGTGGAGGAGGCAGCCACACAGTCGGCTGGGCACGCAGGATGGGCTGGCAGGAGGTGGGGGTTGCCGGGACTCCCAGGAGTGGGGGTGGCTGGGTGGTGGATGTGGGTGGATTTGCAGTGGTTAGCCCTTGGATTCTGAATCTGCAAAGTAAAGTTCAGACTTAGCACCATACCTGGAGCCTGGTTACGATGAAAGAGATGAGTGTAGAGCGTGCCCAGCCCTGGATGGTAGAAGAGACCAAGGAGCCCAGGAAGGGCCTGGGCTAGAACCTCAGTCTGTTTGTAGGCTATTTTAAAATTTTATATTTAGAGGCAGGATCTTGCTCTGTCACCTAAGCTGGAGTGCAGTGGCAGGATCACAGCTCACTGCAGACCTGAACTCCTGGGCTCAAGCAATCCTCCTGTCTCAGCCTCCTGAGTAGCCAGGACTACAGGTGTGCACCACCATGCCCAGCTAATTTTTAAACTTTTTTTTTAGATAGGGTCTTGCTATGTTGCCCAGGCTAGTCTTGAATTCCTGGCCTCAAGCAATCCTCCTGCCTTGGCCTCCCAAAGTGCTCAGATTACAGGTGTGAGCCACCGTGCCTGGCCCATTTTTAGGCTATTTTGTGGTCAACTTCGGGCAAGTGTCCCCTCTCTGGCTCCTCTTCCTGGGAGACAGGGCTGTGAATAACCATGGATGGGGAAAAAATATGTACGCTGGGGACAATGGGACCTATGAGCGGGAAGCAGAGGCAGTCCAGCTCCATGGGGTCCATAGGGAGGGAGCCCCAGCCTCTCTATCTTTCTATCTGGGAGGAGCTGGGGCTGAGACTGGCTTCCGCCAGCCTCACAGCATCCCAGCTTTCTGAACAGGCTCCCAGGGACATCCTCAGCCAGCACTCTGCAGGGGAAAGACCCCTGGCTGCAGTCAGACTGACCAGGTTTGAGCCCGGCTCCTCAGCTCACAGACTGCTCCCCTGGACAAGGCATTCCCCTCTCTGAGCCTCAGTTTCTGCATCTGGGCCTTCTGTACCATGACGTGATGGCTCCTGTGGTGGGGGTGGGGGGGGTATGCCTTGCAGCGCCCAGCACGGAGCAGCTTTCCTTCCCCTTGTCCTGATTATTGCAGGAGGGTCTGGGGCAGGGGGATGCCACAGAACTCAGGTCGGCACCCTGGGGAAAAACCTGGCCACAATACTTGTTTGCTGTGTGACCTTATGTGAGACCCACACCTCTCTGAGCTTCACTTTCATCATCCGGACAGCGGGGCTGATCTGTCTGCAGGAAGCCTCAAGAGGCAGGGTGTCATGGGGGTTACTGCAGCAGCCCCACTGTCAGCAGAGTCCACCAGCCCAGGTACTCAGGGGGTCAGGCCCAGGCCAAAAAAGCTGATTGTGGGGCTCAGCCCGCCCTCCTGACATGGCCCTGGCATTGCGCCCACCCCTGCCTGGCCCACTTGGTGCATTCTGGCCTTGGTTCTTCCTCACCCATTGTTTCTGATAAGCCCTATTGTTTCTGATGAAAGGGGGCCAGGTGATAGCCTCCGCCAGCCCCACCTCCTGAGGCCTGGGGGCACAGAAGCTTGCTCAGACAGGTCCCGATCCTGGCTCTCACCCGCTGAGTAACCTCGGGCCAGTCCCATCACCTCTCTGAGCCTCAGTTTCTCCATCTGTAAAATGGAGCCCATTCTAGCCCCTTCTCCACAGGTTGCCATGGACATCAAATGAGACAATCCTCATTTGTCACAAAGTGAACATCCGCATTCTGCAGAAAACCAGGGCCCAGCGCTGTGAAGTCCTTCACTAGAGCCCACCAGCCTCACAGAGACTCAAGGTCCGTTTCTTGACTGTGAAGTGGGGTCTCAGAGGCAGGAGGCCATGGAATCCTCAGCATGGGGTGGGTGGTGGGGGCGCAGGATGGGAGCCCAAGACATTTGTGGAGCATCTACCATGAGCCAATCATGAGTGCTACTTTTTCATGCTGGGTGACTTCCAGATAAAGCCAAAGTTCAGAGAGGAGAAGGGACTTGCCCCAAGTCACACAGCAGAGTGCAGCTGATTTAGGGCTGGATTCCGGAATGGCAGGTGTTCCCTCTCCTCCTTTGGCCCACTGCAGGCTGCCCTGGGCCCTGTTGGCCCTCGTGATGCACCTCTATGGCTCCAGGGTCAAGAGACAGCGCTAGGCAGGTGACAAGAGTGGGCACCAGCACGAGAAGCAGCCGGGGAGCCCAGCCTGAACTCAACTGTGGGAGGAAGGGCAGAGACCAGGGTCCCCTGGCAATGTCCCTGTGCCTCCCTGCTCCCCATTCCCAGGACCCCTGCAGAGTTTTCTGGAATAGTGGAAGCATCCACTCACCCACCTCCCTTTCCTCCACAGTCTCCAACATTTCATCCCAGCAATACCCAGGGAGGCAGACTCATCATCCTGACCACTTCCCAGGTGAGGACACTGAGGCTGAATGTGGGGGAGCCCGGGCTGCTGCGGGCACACACAGCAGCTTGGTGCCTTTCAGTGATGGTGCCTTTCCCTCCGAGTGGGCAGGAGAAGAATGCCTCCTGGAGTGCAGCGCCCCCAAGCCCAGGGCCCTTGCACAATGACTTGCACAAGGCACGGGAAGTCCCCGGCCCAAGGCCATGCAGCTGGTGTGCGGCAAAGCTGGCAAAGCTGGCCTGGCCCAGGAAGCCTCAGGTATCCCATACCCACGCTGGGACCTGAAGGCCCTGCAGAGGGAGCTGGCCTGGCTCCATTGCCTGGCTCATGCCCCTGCCTTAGCATCAGCAGAGCCCCCAGCCCTTGGCCTAGCTCCTGGAGTCACGGCCTCCAGCAGCTAGATTCAAGGGCATGGGTGCTGTCCCCACCTGTCCTCTCCCTCACCTGCTCCTTGAAAGCCCCAGAGACCAGGAAGGTCTGCCCTTGGGAGGGGAGCCAGGGACAGAATGGCCTTTGTCTGGGGAGGCCTTGCCTGGGCCCAGGCGGCCCCCATGCCCCGGGGATTCGGCCCTCCCCTCCACGGCTCCTCTGTGATCTCCTTGGCAGCCGCCCCTCCTGGCTGGCCCTCCTGCCCCTCGGCCCCACCTGCCTTCCCCTCTCCCTCCCACCAGCGACAAGAGGGTGCTATTCCTGGCTCCCCTTCAAACGTCTGTCCACCGCTCCAGCTTCCCACATCGGCCCTGTGGCTGCCTCTCTGCAGGGGTGTTTGGCATGGGGTGTCTTGGCACACCCTCTAGCCACTCGGTTTCTCCCCGACTTCACTGGGTACTCCTCTACCCCATGTCAGAACCTGCCAGACCTCTCCCCACTGCGTGGTGAGTTTTGAACACCATCCTCATGGCTGTGTGCCTCTGGGCACTCCACTCCACCTCACTGGACCTCAGTCACCCTATCTGTGAACTGGGCTGTTGAGGGTCCCCGGGAGGAGAAGTGCGCAAATCTCCCAAGAAACACCTGTGAGCTATGGCTTCTGAAAGCACCATGTTCCTTGGAGTCAGAGGCTACATTTTCGCACATTTGTGTTTCTGGAATTGGGGTATGTCCTGAGACTGACGTTCTCGTTCATGTGCTGCTTTGGGGGCCGTGAATGCTTCTGTCCCTTGAGCTGTCTCTGAGCCTGGTTCTCAGGATGATTCTGGGCCAGCCCATCCTCTTTAGCGCCATGCTTGAAAACACAGCTCTTGGTGTTCAATAATCTGCTGCTCATGGGTTCAGCCAGGCAGTGAGGGTGGGAGGGCTCTGGGCTGCTCAGCAGTGGGGCAGGTGCCTGGAGGAGAGGAGAGGGTTCTGCAGGGGAGAGTGTGGCCAGGTTCCTGGGAGGCCCAGGCTGCCTCCTCTGTGCCCCTGCAGGGTGCTCAGCCCCGAGCCACCCAGAGGTACACACAGTGAAGGCAGGTGGAGTGAGAGAAGTCCCTGAGCCTGGGACACGCTCCGCACACAAGGGGCCCAGCCAAGCCCTCGCATCCCTGGAGCCTGGGGAGCGGGTGGAGACTACAGCCTGGCAGACAGACAGAGGGGTGTGCCCCTCCCCTTCCTGAGCTCAGTTTCCTCATCTGTAGGATAGGTAAAACCATTCTTACCTCTCTGACCCATGAACTGACTAAAATGGTTCTCTGCTTCCCTGTAATGTCTGTTACCGTGTCACACGGAAATGTCTGGATGGGCTTTCCCCGAGTGTGGAGGAAAGACTTAGGATGGCATGACGTAAAATGTGAGCTATGCAGCATGTATAAAATTCTTCTGGGGGTCCTGAGAGTCTCCCAAGAGGCAAGCGGTCACCGTGGGGGGCAGTGGTGGACAACAAGCACTGACTGTGTTTGAGCCGGGCTCTGTGCAGCTAGCCCCAGCAGGCACGGTACTGTGCATGACTCTCTAACAGTTCATGGCTCCATGCACCTGCAGGGAGGCACCTGGCCTGCTGTCGCGGGGCTCTGGGAGCCAGCCGGGCAGTCCTACCTTCCTCGCAGCTCATTCCCGAGTGCCCAGGGCAGCACCTCCACTCACGGGCAGTCACTGTCTTGTACATCACCTTGTATGTGGGTCTCACCACAGTTCTGTAGCTGAAAGAGTCCCCAGGTGGCCCAGCTGAGACAGGGTCCTCCACGACCTCTCCCACTGCCCTGAATACCCATGGGAACAAACCCAGAACCCCCAGGATCCTCTGCTGCCTCCAGCTCCCTTTGGAGGCTCTCTCCTCCTGCATTTTGGGATTCAGCCCTTCCATTCCCCCACCACCTTGCCACAGGGATCAGAGATTGGATACCAGCTGGACAGGAAGACCCTGCAGGTTGGGCTGGCCTGAGCCCAGCAGTGAATACTCACTGAGTAAAGGAATGCAAGCAATGGTGTATCCCTCCCCCAGGAAGCCCTCCAGCGTGCTTCAACAGCACAGGGGATAGGCTGAGAATGGTGTCAGCTGATGCTACCTTTGCTCCACCCACCCTGGGGTCCAGTCTTCCCCTACACTCCCCATGGAGTCCCCCCACCAGGCCTTTGCCCAAACTGTGCCTCCACCTAGAATGCCATCAGCTCCTTCTCCACCTCATTTACCTGCTCCCCGGACAGCTCATGGGCCAGGGGCAGTTCTGCAGCACTCGCTGAAGGTAGGTGCCATTCTGCACATGGCATGAGATGGTGCGGGTCACCACATAGGAGCACCAGTTCCTGAAACAGACCCAAAGAGAGGATACTCAGGTACCATGCAGGGTCCCCTGCCGGGGACTCTGGGAGGATGGGTGAGGATGTCCGTGTTCTCTTCAAGAGCCCTGAATCCCCAGGCAGAGAGACCCCCTGAGCTTGCAAAGTCATTTGGGCCCAAATGGCTGGTGGGAGTCTCTGTGGCTGAGGGGTGGATGTCATGGCCCTGGGGGTGGGGCCGTGCTGAGCACTCCTGGTAGGTCTTGAGGAATGAACGGCAGGGGAAAGATGGAAGTGGGCCATCTTCCCCTGAGCTCTCCCTCCCCAGCTTCTCTCCTCTCCAACTTTGACCCATCCAGGCCACTATCACTGCCTGGCTCTTGCCTGGACAACTGCAGAGAGTGGCCTCTCCATCTGCTCCTCGGTCCCTCCCTAGAGGGAATGTCACAGAATGGAAACCTGCCTACATCCTTGCCTTGCCTACCCAACTCCCCAGCCCTCAGGATTTCCTGTGCCCACACCTGCCACAGGCCTTTGCTGGTGCTGGGCCCTCTGCCTGCTTCTCCCTGTGGCACTTCCTACCTTCAAAGCCTGGATGTGACGTGGCCTATTCCTTCCACCCTTTCCCATTTCCACCCTGCCCTGAGCAATTCCAGTGGTGCCCTGCCCTGGCTCCCGCAGCATCTGCACACCTGTCACGCTGAATTAAGCCGCCAATTCGTGCCTGCCCACTCCGCCAGCATGCAAGAGGAGAGGCCCTGTCTCACTCATCCCCATGTCCCCTCTGTGGGACGGCTGGGTTGTGTAATCAATGCCCCAAGCCCAGAGGACTGACTTCTCCAAATACCAACTAATAATCAGAATGCACTGCACATATTGAGCACTTACTGTATGCTAAGGGTATTCACACTATCTTCTAATGGTGAGGGAGGAAGGTAGGAAGGTACCCCCACCCTATTTTTACAGAGGGGAAACTGAGGCTTGGGGAGGTGAAGACAACTGCTCATGTCACAGCTGGTGCATAGAGGAGCCAGATTTGAACCCAGCAACATGGATGGCCTAGCCCAGCCTCTGACTCCATCCCAGAGTCTCAGCTTCCGTCTCCTCATCTCCTTGAGCCACGGTCTATGGCTCTGTGAAGATCCTGGCCTGGGAACCTGCTGACCCCAGGCTTGAGGGCAGGAAGAAAGTCTGGGAGGGGTGGGGGACCCAGGCTGAGAAGGGTCACCTGAAACCTTCCCTCCTTCTCCAGCCCCTGCGAAAAGCACAGGGCCTGTGACCCTGTGCAGGGCTGAGGGCTGCTGAGCACCTGGAATGTCCCAGCCATCACAGAGATTCCCATGCCAAGCATAGTGCAGCCGCCGCTCGCTGCAGCCCTGCCCCCACCCCAGACCACCAGAAGGAGAAACTCCTGGGCCAGGACCAGGCAACTAACTCAATTTAGGGCCCTGTGGAATTCCCTTCATCTGTCTGTGCCACACCAGAATCAGTGCCGGAAGAGGAAACAACCTAGGTACAGCCCTGGAGGTGGGCTGGGAGAAGGGATGGTTCGGTTTGGCCCATGAAGCAGGAGAAGCTCCACAGAGCCCTCGGCCAGCCATCCCATGCAGACGTGACAGGTGCCTGCTGTGGCACCAACAGAAATGGCACAAAACTGGGAACAGCCTAAACAGCTATGGAGCCACCAGACACGGGAAACCAGATGCTGTAACAAAGCCTGAGGTCTCCACATGCTGACCTGAGACCCAGTTATCACCCCTGGTTACAGGGAGAAAAAAAGCAAAGACCAATGGATATACAGTGATTGCATTTCTATTACATTAAGAGAGAGACAGAAAGTCAACTATTTATACATGCGGGCACATGTACAGATATGTGCATACAAAGTGAGAAAAAGATGACGCTCTTTTCTCAAACTGCCACCCCTGGGAGCAAGGAGGGCTTTCCATCTGCTCTGTCTCCTACACAAACCATAGCTATGTTTATCATGCTTGCTGCACGCCAGGAGCTGTGCCCAGAGCCTTCTACATGTTAGCTCAGTTGATTCTCATACTCTATTAAAAAGCCACTTTAGGCCGGACACAGTGGCTCATGCCTGTAACCCCACCACTTTGGCAGGCCGAGACGGGTGGATCACCTGAGGTTAGGAATTTGACCAGCCTGGGCAATATGGTGAAACCCTGTCTCTACTAAAAATATAAAAAATTAGCCGGGTGTGGTGGTGGGAGCCTGTAATCCCAGCTACTCAGGAGGCTGAGGCAGGAGAATTGCTTGAATCTGGGAGGCGGAGGTGGCAGTAAGCTGAGATCGTACCATTGCATTCCAGCCTGGGCAACAGAGCGAGACTCTGTCTCAGAACAAACAAACAAAAAAAACCCAGCCACTATACAGATGGGAAGACTGAGACCCTGGGGTCTAGGACTTGCCCCAGGAACCCACGATGGGCGACACAGTCAGGGTTGGAACTCAAGTCCCTCTGGCTCCAGAGCTCGCACTCTCAACCCCAGGCTACAAGTGTTTCTCCTAATGAGTAGGTGGAGATTTCAGCCCTTTTGGAGGCTGAGGCAAGGAGGATCGCTTGAGGCCAAGAGTTCAAGACCAGCCTGGGCAACATGGTGAGAACCCCATCTCTATAAAAAAATTTTTTAAAACTAAAAAAAAGGTCGGGCGCAGTGGCTCATGCTTGTAATCCCAGCACTTTGGCAGGCCAAGGCAGGTGGATCACTTGAAGATCAGGATTTCAAGACCAGCCTAGGCAACATGGCAAAACCCCGTCTCTACTAAAAATACAAAAGTTAGCTGGGCGTCGTAATGTGCACCTGTAATCTCAGCTACTTAGGAGGCTGAAGCAGGAGAATCGTTTGAACCCGGGAGGCAGAGGTTGCAGTGAGCCCAGATGGCACCACTGCACTCCAGCCTGGACGGCAGAGCGAGACTGTCTCAAAACAGAAAACCAACCAACAAACAAAAAAACCAGAGCTGTGGTTTTGAACCTGTTAGGGTTGAATATGGAGGGGGGGGCATAAGCCCCTTTAGAAAATTGCTATGAATCGTGGCTCCTCTCCAGAAATATGCATAAAACTGGTGTATAGTTTAAGGGGATTCAGAGGCTCCTTGGAGCCTATGTGACACTCACTAGGCTGGCTCAGGGGCTTCACGAGTGAAAGAGGGAGGGAAGAAGAGGACAACCTGGGCAGAGGACAGTCAGAAGCTCTGGAGACAGGAAAGGGCCCCTGGACACAGAATGAATGCACTATGCCAGTGAGCAGACAATCGCAAGCACACAGTACCTGCGCACACAAATGCACGCACACACATGAACTCACAGGCACACAGGGGCAAATATGCATGCAATGAGCACGTGCACACAGACACACATGGGCATATGTACACACAATGCATGGACACACGCATGCTCATGCACACGCACACAGATCCACACAAACACAGATACATACACGCACACACATGTGCACATAAGGCAAATACGCACTGCAGTGAGCACGTGCACACAGACACACATAGGCATATGTACACACAATGCATGGACACACGGGTCTCCATGTGCACACACAGATCCACATAAACACACAGCTACATACCCGCACACAAACGCACACAGACAGGCTAAGGCAAATCCAGCAGGACACTTCATCACAGAAATGACCGTCCTCCCTGCACACAAATCCATACCTGCAGATACAGGGCTCTGTGCCCTCATACATTCACACACACACACACTCATCGGCTCTGTCACATGGACACAGACAGACCAAAGCAGGCCCAGAAGGGCACACAGTCACAGTCAAATCTCCTCCCTGCAAATGCGTTCACATTTGCACCCACACTGACACACCCGCACATGCACACACACACACACACATGCCGTCTCACATGGACGCAGATAGGCTGAAGTTGTGATCTCTGGACATGTCCACACAGGGCCCTGCAGTGCACATGTGGGCACACGTGTACACACACACATACACTCCTCTCACATGTACACAAACAGGTGAAGGCAGGCCCAGCAGGGCACTGTTGGCCATCTTACCACACATATCTATACAGGCACGCACAGAGCCATCTGCCCTCACACACACACGTGGACAACAGCCCTCACATGCCCTGTCCCCAGACTAGGCCGGGAGAGGTGGGCCTGTGATGGTCCACAATAGCCAGAGCTGTCCTTCTTTTTACCAGGGGGGAGCTAGAGAAAAAAAAAAAACCAATATTTTTCCTGCTTCCTTAATTAAAATCTCCACCACTGGTGCGTGAGTGCAGTCACAGCTACTTTGGAGGCTGAGGTGAGAGGATCGCTTCAGCTCAGGAGTTTGAGGTTGCAATGAGCTATAATCATGCCACTGCACTACAGCCTGGGCAATAGAGTGACACAACATCTCTTAAAAAAAAATCTTGGCTGGGATCACGCCACTGCACTCCAGCCTGGGCGGCAGAGCGAGACTCTGTCTCAAAAAAAAAAAAAAAAAATCTTGGCTGGGCATAGTGGCTCACGCCTGTAATCCCAACACTTTGGGAGGCTGAGGCTGGCGGATCACCTGAGGTCGGGAGTTTGAGACCAGCCTGACCAACGTGGAGAAACCCCGTCTCTACTAAAAATACAAAATTAGTCAGGCGTTGTGGCTCATGCCTGTAATCCCAGCTACTCGGGAGGCCGAGGCAGGAGAATCGCTTGAACCCAGGAGGCAGAGGTTGCAGTGAGCCGAGATCGTGCCATTGCACTCCAGCCTGGGCAACAGGAGTGAGACTCCATCTCAAAAAATAAAAAATAAAAAAAAATAACCATGTAGATCCCTGCCTGGTTGCCACAATCTGGACTGTGCTTGAATCCTCTCTTTAGGAGACATGGAGCTGGTGGCCGGTTAGCCAGACCTTTTGGACAGGAGAGGACACTCATGCCAGGTGGAGTTCAAGTTCAGCCCCTTGCCCCCTCCACCTGGGAATCACTAATAACCACCCCATCCCCCAGCTTGAGGACCCCAGCCCCAGGACTCCTAGCATCAGCCTGAGCTCCTCCACAGGGTCCTAGCCTGGCCCTGCCACCCTCCTGCTCCCCTATCCACCTTCCAGAGGTAGCAGGAGGCTCTTTCTAAAGTGCAGACCTAAGGTTGCCAACACCCACTGTGGGGTTCGCAGCCCACCATGACTCCCTATAGCCCTGAAAGCACGGTTTTCACTTTTTTTTTTTTAGATGGAGTCTCGCTCTGTCGCCCAGGCTCAAGTGAAGTGGCACAATCTCGGCTCACTGCAACCACCACCTTCCAGGTTCAAGTAATTCTCCTGCCTCAGCCTCCCAAGTAGCTGGGATTATAGGCACTTGCCACCACGCCCGGCTAATTTTTGCATTTTTAGTAGAGACGGAGTTTCGCCACATTGGCCAGGCTGGTCTCAAACTCCTGACTTCAGGTGATCCGCCTGCCTCGGCCTCCCAAAGTGCTGGGATTACGGGCGTGAGACACCTCGCCCAGCCTGTCCTTCACTTTTTATTCTGCTAGCCTCTCATGCAGCCCCTTCTCCCGTCTCTGATCTTAGCATATGAAGGTCCCTCTGCCTGGAAAGCCCCTCCCTCTTGCCCCAGCAAATTCTTATTCATCCTTTGGGTCTGAGCCCTCAGGCCCACACAGGGGTTGACCATCACCCATTAGCCACTCACAATAGCCCTGGGCTTTACTCACGAAGGTGCTGGAGGAGGGCATGAGCTGGGACCAAGTTTGTGTAGGGCTCAGCCTGAGGACGCTCAGTGATGTTTGTTGAATGACTGAATGATGGAGAATAGGCAGCAGCTCTGGGCAGAACAGTCGGGACCCGAGATGGGTTCCACAGATGAAGTGACCCATCCCCATGTGCTCCATTCCTGCAGCCCCTGGGGGCTACCTTCCCTAGGGTGTCGTCATTGATAAGCTGCTCAAGAGCTGGATGAGGCTGGGCAGTGGGGTGGGTGAGGGCAGGGGCTGGGAAGAGGCGGCACTTCCCTCCTGGGCCCACCACTTCTGTCCACTCAGCACCTCCAGGTCCCCAGAGGCCTCCAGGAGGGGAGAAACAGGCCAGACCAGCTCAGCCTGGCACCGGCCACCCCCACAAGGGCCCCCCACCTACACCCACACTCCACCCCCTGCCACGAGGGGCCCAGGGGACTTTGTCTACGTAGGGCCCAGGGCTGCGATCCGGAACAGTGATAGGGGCTAATTGCAGGAGGCAGCCAAGCGGGCCTGGGGCCAAGGGCCGTGATGAAAAAGAGAAGAAAGAAAGGACCAGGCGGGTGGGGGTGCTGTGATGAGAGCCAGAGCCCCGCAGTGGGGGCGAAGTTCCAGCCCTGGCTCTACTGCTTCCTAAGTCGGTGACCTTGGACAAGGCCCTGACCCTTTCTGGACCTCATTTTGTCCATCTGCAAATGGGGACAGCAGAATTTCCTCCAGTGGGGTAAGCTTCACTCAAAACCCTTAGCACAGCACTAACAGCTATTGTTCATTCCTGTTCCTGGACTGAGGGGCTCAGGCCCACACATGGGCGCCACACCCAGCAGCTGTGGTCCAGGGGCTTCCCTGGGGCTTGGGGACACCAGCACAGTACCTTCTTCACAAGGTCTTCCCCTTGGAATAGAGATTATCAGGTTCTACATTTTACAGAGGGGGAAACTGAGGCTCCAAGAGAAAGCACCTATCCGGGTTACTCCTGTGGGCATCAGCTGGGATTGGAGCCCCCTAGAGAGAGGCTGGGGCAGATCCCTTCCATTTTAGAGCCCTCCATTCTCCCTGATCCTAGGATTTGCCTAAAGGAGGCCGGCACTGCAGGGGCGAGAGGTCTGGGCTGGTGAAAGCTTGAATCCTCAGCTGAAATGCTGAGATAAGTGGTTAAAGGATGCGCGCTCCAGGCTTGGAAGGACCTCAGCAGGGCAGGAAGCAGCTCCAGGAGCAGAGGCAAGCCAAGGCAGCTCTGCATAGCCCTTGGGCACCCCAGTTCCGGGGGTCTCCAAGTGTCACCACATTCCTGGGGCTGGGGGCGGCCCCCTGGATGCCTTCCCAGGCCAACCCCTCCCCAGGACAAAGCCTCTTTTCTGCCTCTGGTCCCTTGGCTGCCAAGGGGTGCCTGGGGTGCTGGGGTGTGGGTGGCAGGATGGCTGACAGGGCATGACATCCCCATGCTGTCTCCAGCAACGCGGGGATGGGGCCACAAGTGGAGGTCCTGGTAGGCCACAGACTCCTCAAGCTCCAGGTCCCTACCCCCTTACTGCAGGTAAGGCCCGGTACTGGCCCTTCCCATGAGGAAAGAAGGAAACTGAGAGCAAAACTGAGACCTAGGGCCAGGAAGTGACCCACTTGAGGTCACACATCAAGCCTGTACCAGCACGGAATTCTGTCTCCATTTTGTCCAAGCCTGGAGCCCCTAACTCCTAATCATGACTACAAACCTTTCCTGGTGCCCCCAAGCCAACAATCTCTTTCCTTATTCCAGGAGGGCTGCTGGGTAGAAAAAGCCACTGGATTTGGAAATTGACTGATCTGGATTGAGGTGCCACTTTTCCTCTGTAGGCCTCAGCCTCCTTATCTGTACAATGGGTGCAATAGTATTGCCAACAGGGCTTTTGGAATGCTCAGGCTACTGTGATGGGCTTCTGTCAACACATGGAGTGACAGTCTCCAGTGACCACCAGATACCTGGTTATAGCCGCCATCCTGCTCCCACTCAGGAGACCCTGGAAGGTGAGGAGCCCAGGCTGGGAAGCCCTGTCTTGAACTGACTGCAGGGCAGTCTGGGCCTTAAGCTGTGCTACCATCATCCTGAGCCTGACAGTGGGATTTCTGAGTTAATAGTCTTTCTCCTCTTAGCATCTGGGATTCTGGCGGCTCACATCCATGCTCTGGGCAGGTCATGTTCCCTCTCTGAGCCTCATCTTCCTCCTCTAAGAAACAGAATCATAAAAAGCACACCTTCAAGCAGCTGGGAAGATTCTGGAGCTGATGAATGCAGGTAATGGGGCCGACTCAGGCTAACTGTGGTCTGCACACGATAGGTGGTGGCTGTGACATCCACCACACGTCCACCCCTGTCTCAGACAACTGCTCTTCTGGCCTCTGATGCTTCAACCACCTCCATCCTCCAGCCCTGCCCATGTCAACCGCTCTTGCTAGCCCAGCAGGGGCATGCTGGCCCCTGACCACTGGGAAAGGAGAATTTCTGAAAAGAATTAAAGAATTGAGGCCGTAGGGGGTGGGGGCCGTGCAGGCCTTTGAAAGGGATGAAAAGGCCTGGAGAGGCCTGGCTACTCCACATTGTCTGCCTTGGACAACGGCGGCTGGCCTTTAAGAGGGGACCCTGGCAGGGGTTGCAGTCAGGACAGAGGCCAGGGCAGGTTCAAACACTGTCATCAAGGACAGAAAGGCAGATTTGCAACCCAGCTCTTCAATGAATAGACCATGAGTCTAAAAGATGATGCCAATTCTCTAGGGTCTCGGTTTGCTTCTCTGTTGAATGGGGACAGTTTTCCCTACCTCATTCAGTCCTTGAAGGATTGATGAGGACACTATATACAATAATGGGCCCCACCATGTCAGGTTGTGGGAGCTCCTCCGTAAAGGCCAGCGGGGAGGAAGTTCCCAGCCACTAGGAGAGCAGCAGGAAGACGGTGCTCCCTCTTTTCTCTGCCCAAAATGCCAGGTCCCTGGGGAGCCTCCACACTGACCCACTGGGCTGTGAGACTCCACCCCAATCCCTCCTCCGAGGGAGATAAATAGCCTGGGTACAAAACAAAAACAAAAACAAAACAACAAACAAACAAAAAACAGGAACAGAGTAAAGGGGAGGGGGGTCCACGAAGGGTCGGCTACGGGGTGTCATGGGCCTTTCCCAAGTGCAGGGGGAGGGGCCCTAGGGACAGGGGGACAGAAGGGCCAGGGCTTCGCCCTCGTTGCGCCCCTTCCTCCTCCTCTCCGGCTCCGGGGTTGAAAGGGAGGGAGTAGGGGAGACAGGCAGCTCCAACACATGGAGTAGGGGACCCCGCACTCGCGGGAGCCTCAGCCGGACCCTGCCCTCACCCGGGCCGGCACTGAGCCTAGGGACTGGATCGCTCTACCGATCCCGGCCCTGCCCGGAGGTGGGGACGTGTGCGCGCCGGGACCCCCGGCCAGCGGGGTGCAAAGGCGCGGGGAGCCCTTACCTGCGTCCGGAGAACGGGGCTGCCCCGATGCTCCACGCAGCGCCGCCTCCCGGGAGCAGGAGCCCGAGGCAGAGCAGCGCCCAAGCCCGCGGGCCGCCCATGCTGCACCAGGCGCCCTCCGCGCGCGGCCCCTCGCTGTCGCCGCCCCTAGCCTGTCCTCCCCGCCCGCCTGCCCGCGCCGCCAGCCGCCCCGGACGCGCGGAGCCCGGTTCCCAGCGCCGCGGCCGGAGGGCGGGCAGGAGGCGGGCGGGGGCTGGGGCGCTCGCTCCCGGCCTCGCCCGGCCCCTCGGCGAGGCCCCCCGCCCCCTGCGCCGTCGCTGCCAACCCGGAAGGAGCCCGGAGGGGCCCGGGCGGCCCGGGCGCCCCAGCCAGGAGGCCCGCCAGGTGTCCACCTGAGCCCCACACCCTACGCCGCAGGGCCCTTTTGGGGGCGGGGTGCCAGCTCCGGGGTGTCCTCCCACTAGTTGTAGACTGGGAAACAGGCCCGGGCCACGGTCCCAGACGCAACCGGGACCCGAACCCGCCTCGCCTGAGTGAATGATATCAGCGACTCATCCTTTTTTAACACCTTTGCAGGATCCAGCCCTCCAAGGAAAGCTTCCTGAGCAGTGCGTGCCATGTGTACTGGGCACCTCACGGCGGCCACTTCGCATCCTGTCTCAAGTGAATCTTCAAGCCACTCTGCTGGAACTGGGTGCAATATTCCCATTTTACAGAAGAGAAAACTGAGGCCCAGACACTCACAGTCTCCCTAGAAGGAGATCTGGGTGGACCCCATCAATGCAGGGTCTGTTCTTATTCTCATTTTACAGGTGGAGAAACTGAGCCACAGAGAGGCGCTGTCATTTACCTGAAGCACCGTGGCAGGAGTTTGGCAGAGCCAGGATTTGTACCCAGATCACCTGACTTTGGAGAGTACCAGCTCTTAACCACAGCACTTTGGTCAAAGCCTTGATTTCACCATATGTAACAAGGTAAGAATTGGTGTTGTGTGGTTTCCTCATCTGGGGTACATGGATGGGCTTCTGGGGGAAGGGCTCCGCATCCCACAAAAGTATATGTAAGTGTAGTGTGTGTGTGCAGGGGTACATGTTTGTGTGGTATGTTAGAGAGGACCCAGACTCCCATTTCCCAGGACAGTCTCTAACCCCACCTTCTGCCTGCATCGATGGACAGTAATTAGGCCTGGGCTGGGGAAGCCCTTGCCCAGCTTGGCTCTTTCCTGTTATGGCTTGTCCAGACCCATGGTCCCTTCTAGAAACACTCCCCAGAAAGGATCTGCCAGTCACTGGATTGCCCCTCCTGGACTCACCAGGGGCAGGCAGCATAGGCCACCATAGGCAGGCAGGCAGGATGGGGATCCATCACCAGTGTGTCCACATAGAGAAAGCTGATGCCGTCTCAAGGGACAGGTAGTGAGAGCTGTTTTCAAACCCTGCCTCTACTACTTCTGCTCCAGTTAGCTCAGGCAAGTCCTGCCCCTCTCGGAGCCTCAGTGTTTCTTTTGCAGGGAGGACAGTTGTACATTCCTTACAGGAGTGTGGGAAGGATTGAGATATGGTAATGGCCTGTCGCCCCCTCTCCTCTACTACACATGGTCCCCCAAGAGCTCCCACTCCCTCCAATGACATCACCATGGTGCCAATGTTGCCCCCCTGGGGAGCTGTTGCCCTCCTTTTCACATGAAATTTTGGGGCATCTCCTGTGCCATCTCTCTGACCTCCAAGAAACGCAGCTTCATACCTCTCTGGTTAGCCCTTGTTTTTGACACAGCTAGATCAATGACTTAACACCTTGCATAATTCGTCACTCCTGAGGAGCCATGCCCCCAAGAGGATGCCAGACCTGTCTGAAACCCCAATCAAGGGACCCAGATAAAAACCCATCACCCCACGGGGTGCTTTGAGCTGTTTAGGAAGCTCAAACATGCAGCTGTTTAACACATAGCTGTTTAGGAAGGAGAAGCACTGGATAATGTCTTAGAGGGACTGAGAGGTGTCTGGGATGCCAGATGGGTGCCAGAGAATGAGGAGGCACTGCTAGGTCTGTTTGCAACATGTCCAAGATGCTCCTGCGATTAATGGCATCCACATTTCTTTTTTTTTTTTTTGAGACAGAGTCTCGCTCTGTTGCCCAGGCTGCAGTGCAGTGGCGCATCTCAGCTCACTGGAAGCTCCGCCTCCTGAGTTCACGCCATTTTCCTGTCTCAGCCTCCCGAGTAGCTGGGACTACAGGCGCCTGCCACCATGCCTGGCTAATTTTTTATATTTTTAGTAGAGATGGGGTTTCGCCATGTTAGCCAGGATGGTCTCGATCTCCTGACCTCGTGATCCGCCTGTCTCAGCCTCCCAAAGTGCTGGGATTACAGGTGTGAGCCACCGCGCCTGGCCTATGGCATCCACATTTCTTAACCAATGCCATCAAACTAGTGGCAGACTCAGGCCTCTGCAGAATTTTCCCAGCAAGAGACTATCCTGGTAAAAGCTGTTCTCAACATTTTCACATCAGAGAGGGGCCTGTCCTTGCTGAGCCTGGGATTCCCAGGTCCAGGGTATTTATTTATCACTAAAGACTGACCTTGTGGCTGTGTGACCTAATGGTTACCACCCCACAAGCCCTGTGACCCACAGGCCTGGGTGTCAATTCCAGAGCAACCTCTGGGAGCTGTGTGACCTGAGACAAGTCACTTCCGTTCTCTGAGTCTCATTTCTTTGCCTGAAAAAACAAGCCATGGGACTTTTTTTTTTTTTTTTTTGAGACAGGGTCTCACATTGTCACCCAGGCTGGAGTGCAGTGGCTCATTGCAGCCTCAACCTCCTGGGCTCAAGTGATTCTCCTGCCTCAGCCTCCTGATTAGCTAGGACTACAGGTGTGTGACAGCACATCTGGCTCATTTTTAATATTTTTTGTAGAAACGGGGTCTTGCTCTGTTGCTCAGGCTGGTCTCGAACTCCTGGCCTCAAGCAACCCTCCCACATGGGACTTTTTAAGGTCCCTCTGGCTTAAGAGTCTGAGCTTCTGGGAAAGTGTGAAAGCTTCAGGCCTCCCTTTGGTGGCCCTGGGGCACAGCTGAAGCCCCCATTTAAGGGCTCACTTTCCTGTTGGATGACAGCCTGCTTTCTGGTCAGTTGAGTGGAAAGACAGGAAATGCCGTGGGGGTCTGGGGTTTTGATTATTTGAGGTTTCAATGTTTGCTGAAACTGAGAGGAGAGGGGCCAGCTGGCTTGAGGTCTCAGGGCCTGTCCCTGTGGCGGGGCCTCCCCCCTGGGGGCCTGGTCCTTTCCACTGCCAAGACCAGACCACAACCTCCAGTAACGACAGCAGCTTCCGTTCCCCAGCGCTGACTGTGTGCCAGGCGCTGTGCTAAGCATTTTGCTTATATTGTCTGCTGCGATCCTCTCTGCCACCCGGAAGGCAGCCTTATTGTCCCCAGGTGTGGGGCTCATGGCTAGTGAGTGATGGGTGCCTGCCTATGAGTTTACCCACCAGACCACACTGCCACCCACCAGCTGAGCCCTGAAGTGGGGCTTCTTTGGGGTAAGAAATAACTTGGCTCACATATGGGGTCCCATCTTGGGGCTGATGAGGCCAGAGAGAATGCATGGACACATACCCAGACCTGGACCCACACCCATGGGGACCACACGGGGACACACACAGACACCCTCCCAGGGCAGGCCATGGGATCCGGGAAACACAGCCTGTCTGGGGCGGATTCACTGACGCATCCACCCTGGCCTAGTCCAAACAGGAAATGTTTTATCCTCTTAACAAACAACCTGGGCTGCAGCCTCCTTCCCCTGTGAAGTCCCTCGGGGCCGTAGCTGAGGGACTCTCTCCTCCCGCTGTGTCCTACAGGACTGTCTCTCCAGGTTGGGTGTGCCCTATCGTATCAGCCCTGTGCACACACTAGCTCGTGTGAGCCCAGGTACTCTTCCCATATCGTGCCTGTTCCATAGGTGAGGGAGCAGCCCGAGGGGTGCCCAGAGCCCATGGCCGCAGCCCCCAGGGGTCCAGGCCTGACGGCCAACGCAGTGCCTGGACACCATGAAAGGGAAGGGACCGTGTAAGGCCACAGCCTTCAAAGCTGCTGACCAGACAAAGGACAGGGTCCAAGAGCAATGGCTGCTCTCTGCGCTTTTGATCGGGGGTTTGGCCCTCCTGTCCCTGGCTCTCAGAGCTGGGAGCACCCTGCAGGGCCAGGGTCGGGGCACTGGGAGACCTGGACAGCCTGCAGCTGCCCGGCCAAGTTATTTATGCTCCATGGAGCTGCCCTTCTCATTCAACCAGCTCTTTCTTTCCCCAGAGAGCTGGGACTGGGGCTGGAAGGGAGTAGTGGGAGGAAGGAAGCTGGCAGAAAATCATAAATTAGGGCTGGGGAGGGCCTTCCTGTCCTCCTCTGGAATCTCCCGTTTTGCATCTTTGAGGTGGGTGCAGGGAGAGGACAACAGAATGACAGGGCCGGACATGAGCGAACATGGCAAGACAGGGCACCTCTTGTTGGAGTGAGGAGACCTAGATGTTCTGTGTGATCTAGAGAGAGTCCCTTCTCTCGGAACCTCAGTTTCTCCATCTGGAAAATGGGGGTGACGTGAGGACTTGGGGACTTTCCTGCAACTGTGCTTTGTTGACTGTGCAGGAGTGGACAAATGAGAGGCTTTCTCCTTAGCAATGTTTGTTCCCCCTTCCCCTCCTCTGGCAATTTCTCCAAATCCTCCCCTTTCTGACCCCCAACCTCTGCCCTACTTGCCTTCTCTCAGGTCCCTTCCTCTGCTTCTCTTTCATCTCCTCTTGCAAAAATGGAAGAACAATATCTCCATATGCAGCATCCACCCAACTAGGGGGTAGAGGGAAGAGCTGTTGGCTCATTCCTACTAGAGTGTGAATGACTGATATGTTTAAGGTTTAATGTTGGGAGGAGGGGGAGTTAGCAGGGCTTCCTGCCATTTAAACCCTAAATCGTTGGTAGTGGAACTTCCAGGCTGGTGCGGGAAATGTTTGGTGACCAGAGCCTGGGAACATGGCCTAAGACCTTCTGTGTGGGAAGCTGTCCATCTCCCAGCCCAGTGAGGTGAAGCCCACTCCCGGCTGGATGCATCTGAAAAGGCAGCTGTGAGTCCCTGTGGTTGGATAGATCTGGCAGGAGGGAAGGGCAGACCAGAGAAGCCCCTCAGAGCAGAGGCCCTGGAGCTGCCCACCAGCCCTGCCAGTCCCAGGTGGCACCTGCTGGGTCATGAGCATGTGGGCCCACCCCACTTGACAGCCCCAGGATGAATGGGGAGGTGGTGGTGGTGCTGAGAAGCAGGAGGAGAATGAGAGTGGTGGGGAGACAGGAGGAGTCAGAGACAGAGACAGAGAGATATAGTGAGAGACTCTCAGAAGAGGACAGTGTGCCAGGTAGCCAGAAAGAAAGGGAGACAAAGTGATCTAGAGAGATGTCTTCATCTTTCATAGAAGGAAACAGATGGAAAGACAGACAGACAGACTCAGAAAGAGGGACTCTTTGGGAAGAGGATCCTAGGTGGTTGGTCTCAGCTCCTGTAGAAGCCTGGCAGAGGGAGCAGGACTGGGGCACCAGCCCTCCACCATCCTGAGCCTCATCTGTTCTCAGCACTGCACAGACTCTGGCCTCCCTCAGACCCCCACCCCATGCCAAGGGTGGGGAGCCTGTCCTTCCTCCATCGCCCACCCAGGCATCTGGCAATGGCTGTCTGTGGGCTCTGGGCTGCCTGGGGCTGGAATATATCATGCTTGGGTAGCCCCGTTAGACAGAGCCCTGGGGCCCGGGGGAATGGATTCCTAACCTGAGGCTTGGTCCTGGGAGTCTTAGGTGGATAGACAGCTATATAAGGGGAGGGGGACCTGACTACAGATTGTCCCTGCCCCACCATCCGGTCAGCCCTGCAGGGCTAAGTCTGGGTCCTCTTTCCCTGTGTCCATTCCTTGGCTCCATCCCATCCAGCCTCTGCCCCCT